ATCAACAGCTGCTACAATTACCGAAACATAATCTACTTATAATATTCGTGTAGAAAATGCATAAATTGTAGCCACATATGTAGATCCGGTGTTGATATCATTGTGCAAGCAAAAGCTATATTATAAATCTACTATCTATATAATGAATCCCTAAAATGTAGATAATTAGCTGTTGTCCACATCTTCGTCTGCTTTTTTTAAGACAAAACATAGTCTACTTCCATTATCTTGATACAATCTATCTTCACGTCAAATTTCATAAAGATCCGTTTAGTCTATTGTGAAAATGTAACAGACAGACAGACGCACTGTCATCTTACACATCCATAAAAAATATACCCATGTACAGAATCCAAAGAAAGCTCATGGTTAAAAATATTTGAAATCTGAGTGTTCCCAAAATATTTTTCTTACTATAAAGATGTCTACGCAACCTAAGACAAATATCATCTAAATGCGTGTCAGGAGTATAAAGTTAAATTAGCGTCAATAGATAACCATCTAATACCCGAAATTAATATCACACCAATCCCGAACCATTTTGATTTATCTTAGGGATCACACATCTTTTATTGACAATATTTTGACTTGATTATGAGTACAGATTGATTTCATAATAGTTTTATTATAAAAATGTCTTTCGAAGTCTTGTTTAGTGATAGTCTCTGATTGAAATGTTCTTGGCCGGTTTTTTTCTATCTATAGATTAACTCCATGCTAATTTGACACGGCCTTGTTCTACACTTGGCCTCTGAATTAGTGTCAATGCTCATTGAATTATGCTATCTAGATGATTGGCCGGCCACTTAATTCGATCTCGTCCTTAGAAATTGCATATTATAAACCATAAACTGCGTAGAACAAGTTTGAAATAGTCTAGGAGAGACGAACTTCTTCTATTTTTTTTCTCTCTGGCAACACTGCCAATAACAGTATTTGTCAGTTGGCTCTTATTTCTTTATTACCCACTACTTACAAATATTCTCATCGTTGCTTCTCAATTTTTATATTCAGATATCCTATATGTTCATAAAAATCTTGACTTATTTCCAAAAAACAGCAATATTCGTAATATTAATACTAGATTTAAAGACAAGCTTGCTGTCCCCAAGTATCGTTTAGAAAAAGGCAATAGGTTTTTTATGGGAACAGGTATAAAAATTTATAATAAATCCTTTGGTATCCAAAGGATATATTGGAATTACCCTTAAATAGATTCAAAACATCTGTTAAATCATATTTACTGAGCAAAGCCCTTTACTCACTAAACGATTACTTGAATGACGAGCGTGCATGGCAATAGTTGTTCATGCACGGGATTTTCATTTAATGTTAGACTTAGACACCTATATAAATACATATACATTGTAAATAACCTAGCTTTTAAAAAAAGTAATTGAATTGAGTTTCTTGGCAGTTCTTCTCAATTGGATCTATATACCGAACTGGATGATAGGGGAAAAACATAAATATTATAATGTAAAAACTTGACGTTCATAAGCGGCTAAAATGTCCTACATGAATAAATGATTTTTGATTTTGTATTTGAACTTTCATTCCATGAATTCACCAGCCGGGAGCCGGGTCCATCGTGTGGTAGAGACTCAGACAGCCAAATCTGTTAGGAGTTTGCTAGTGCAGTTCTAAACAGGCCAAGATCTTTTAGATAATTTAATCTATTACCTACTTAGAACTTACTTTAGAACATTCGCTTCTAAATTTAACTTTCACCGCCCTTGATACTGCATTACCATACAACTACCTACATAATTATAATTTTTTGTGCCTACATTTGACACTTATATAACCATCTAAACTAAGTATGGTGCAAAATGTTTTCGTAGATACAATAGACAATTTAGTAATAGTGACATAACATTTATTACGAATACTTGATTATAAATTTAAACTAGGTATGTAGGTAAGTACTTACTTAATTTTTTAATAGGTCATTCTTAATTTATTTGTTACTTTGACAAATAATACATTTTAAGATTGCTATATAAAAAAAAATAGATAGAGCCATCAAATTATCATTTATTGTCACTTACCCAAGTCATACATTTTTAACCTCTAACCCAAATCGGCTAGATCTTTATATACTTAAACTAAGATATGAAATGTTTGGGGTACACATTTCAGGTTCAGCCCGCACGGCCCGTGTCGACAATGCCGTTTGATTCGTGCATTTAATTAAATCGTCATAGACACGGGCTGTTAGGTCAAAACTTTACAATGTGAACCCTACCATAAGCAGAGCTTGTATCGTTTGTAGGTACCTACTAGTACTAAGTTATATAATAGAGGCAGTAAGACAATTAATTTGATATTAATGAAAATATTATTTTAATTACTGTATTGTGTATCGGTTTCTTTTTATAGATTAAAGGAAATTATTATGAGTGTCTTAATAGAATTTACTCGGTTGTATTAGTCCCATACTAACATCGTCACAGTTTACATAATTGTTATTTATTCGTGGATCTAACCATGATATTTTGACGTCCACTCCATATCAATATTATTATAGTTTACAATTACAGCCGACAGCATTAGAATAGTAAAAAAAATTCAGTCTTATGTAATCTTTATCAATGTTATGTTACAATAGGTCGCCATCACTGTAACACGACAGCGTAAACTGAAGATGCACTTAATAGCGTGTCTTAAAATTGCAAGCAAATGCAATTCGCGATAACAATTGACGTAAATCAGTTGTTTCCGAACTGGGCCAAGGGTTCATAATTCATAACGTGTCGGGTCGTTGATTGAGTTTATTTGATTGGAGCTTAGATTAATTAGCTTGGTAGCTTGTTGTTCTATTAATTGTCTATTTGTAATAGTAACCTAGTTACTGTAATGTAATGCAACCCTATTTTTGATGGAGATATTCAGTGGCTATTGTGGGCGTTAGAATGAATAGACTGTATGCGTGATATAAATCAAGCAATGGATACAAAATGGCAAATGGTACTTATAATGAAGATACTAGGTTACTAATTAATTTGCATATACAATATAACTATCTATATTTATTTAAATATTATTAATATATAATCTAATCATCGTAATTTTTTAATCGTATTTTACTTGAAACCCATCCTCATGATATATATGCATCCTGATAAAATATTAAATTGTTTTTTATTTAGATATTTTGTAATGAAATTGTAAGATATAATGTAATTAATGCAAGTATGTTGTAACAACTTTAACCTGACCTATGATCCTTAATAAAGATTTGTGAGAAATATATAGATATAATATGTAAATGTATATTTGCTTGTTTATGAATAATCTAGTGCAATAGAAGTGTGCATAATATGATAAAGACATTAATATCTATATTTAATTGTAAACAAGATCGTCTAAATATACTCTTAGTATAGAATAAATTAAATTCTAATATTTATATAGCATGTCGGTACCACACCACTGTTATCTTAATGATACCTACACTTGTTAATTTTCTCATTGTAACATGGCAATAAAATTATATATGCTTCTAAATGCATATGTAATATCACGTGTATGAAAATGTGGCTAATAAATAATGTATTGATTGGATTTACTACTAATATTTGTAGTGTAATTAGTTGTGTAGTGATGCAAGCAAGTGTAATTTAAATGAATTATTTAAAAAAAAACTCCACACATATCATTCAATTCAATCGCGAAGAGAAGCAGGTGAAACACCAAAATTATATGGTATAACAAAATAGGCCGTGCCAGGGTTATAGAGCAGCATTAGGACTCTACAATGACTGTGGCGGCTCTACTTATCTAATATAATATTACTTCCTATATTATAAATAATACAGGCATTGTGATACCTAGAACAATCAGAATGCCAGTATTATTTATAAAACTAAACTAAACGGAAGAAGCTCAAAGGGAAAATTATTTTTTATTATTTTTATACTTACGGTACGGTCACTGGTCATTTATTACAATTTAGTATTAAATGCCCGAAAATATTTCTAAATGTTCGCTTTACGAATATTTGTTTAATTTTGTGAATACTGTCGTTCAACAAATGCAACTAAATTGAAAACCAAATGCTGTTGGAAATTGGTTGTAACTAAAAATAAACAGTGGCAACCGTATACTTATACTTTAAGAAAGATACCTCTTTTTCTATATTTATTGTTTCTATTTAAATAAAAATGACACTAGACAATAAGAACATAATCCATAACAAACATATGTATATGATTTGCTGATAAGCAAACCATGTCTGATATTAACTCTACATTAGCATAGCCTAACGCCATCTATTGGCAGTTTTAGAAAACATACACATTGAATGTGTCTGCTTATTTCGAGCACTATGTCAACTGTCAGGATGGCCGAGCGGTCTAAGGCGCCAGACTCAAGGTACTACCTTGCCCGTCAAACGGGTATGAGCTGTTCTGGTCCTCTCTGAGGGCGTGGGTTCGAATCCCACTTCTGACAAAACTTTTTAATTTTATTTTCACATAATAATAATTTTTAATGCCTAGTGTTTATACGTTTTTGTATCAATTTGTATTAATACGATACAAATATCAATTTAACATTACTGTTATTTTTAATTAACCATCTTATAAATAGGAATAAGACTATAATTGTTTTTTTTTTAAATAATATACCGTCACGACTATTATCTCAGATAGGGTAGCCCGATACATTGACAATTGTCGACGTCGTAGTGAATGCAATTACATTTCACTAGGTATCTCATAAAAAAACAAAGTATTTATAAAGGCGTAAATACAGATAGTATACCATAATTTCAGTATGTAACATGTAGTCCTCGGTAGTATAGTGGTAAGTATCCCCGCCTGTCACGCGGGAGACCGGGGTTCGATTCCCCGCCGGGGAGACTCTTTTTGTTGGTTTTTTTATGTAATATTTTCTTAGATATTAATTATTTAGTTATATTTGTATTGATTATCACTTAGTTTTGTAAGTTATTTTAAGTTTTCAATGTTTTTATGGGAATTTCTCGTTGTGGTCAGGTAGCCGGTACCTGTGTGATGGTGCGGGTGCACACAGTGCTGTTGGTGGTAGCACTGTGCCGCGTCGCCACCACACTCGACTCCGAGCTCGGCGTCGGCAAGGCAATTAACATATTTATGAGGTAATTAATCTTCATCATGTTTTTTTTTTCAACTAAGTATTTGTTTTGGAAATTAGAGATTAACTTAATAGATAAAATATTATACTGATAATGGTTTATACATTTGCGTATATCTCTAAATAGGTATATTTCCAAAAGGTTATGGGCCCAGTAAAGGTAAGGATAAAACTACATGTAATGATTACGCTAAATTATAATAATCAATGGCCGTTCGAAATTCGACCCTAAGTAATTTAACATTGAGTAAGACTATAGTCGAATAATATTAAAGACAATATGAATCTATTCTCAGTACATATACCTACAGACTTTAACAATAAATAAAAGCGTATATGCTGTGTGTCAAATACAGGGTAGCGATTTAATTTTATATATAATTAAAAAATATATTATAATATATATGCGCAATTTTATAAAAGGTGTTTAATTTTTTTGTTTTCCTTATTAATACAATACAATAAACCGAACTGTCAACCAGGTATATGTCGACCAACTTGCGTACGTCTTAACTAAATGATTGGTCGGCCTGTTCCTACAGTGGTGGTATTGCTTGTAGACATTGTAACAATTGGCAATATTTTAGAGAAGTATTTCTATTTCTATCAACTTTTTCACTGTAATCTTTATCCCTAGATATGGTTACCTCAGTATATGCATGCGAGTGGTGCCTCGCAATGACACCGAAGGCTGGGTGTTCAGAGAGCCTACCGTCAGCGTGTTCCGCAACGTGGAACAGTTCGCGGTGGCGCCCAAGCCGCGCCAGGCGAAGACCATCTTCGACGGTGACTTCCACATGGAATTCTGCGATAACCTGAAGCAATTGCTTCAGGCGTATTTCAGGGATTTCACCTTTGAAAGGTATATTATAATCCTTTTGTTAATAAATATAATTTTCTTTGATAAAAATCACTTTTATCTCTTCATAAAAATCATTCAATAAAGTCACAGTGTTAGTTACCATACTCCTCCGAAATGGTTTGACCGATTTTTATAAAATTTTATATGCATATTTAGTAAGGTCTGAGAATCGGCTGCTATCTATTTTTCATACCCCTAAATGATAAGGGTTGTCTACCCCCTTTCTTTTTTTACCTTTTTTTTATAATGTAGCATTAATAAAATACAGACAACCCTAAATTTTAACCCTTCTATCACCATTCCCTATTTTTAATAGCAATATGGCAAAATGGTTTAAGGGTAAGCTATGTGTAACATTCTCATTATCAGCAAACATAGGTGGTAGTTTAGTTTCTATACGACAAATATTTTACTAATTACCTATTTCCCTAAGGCCTAATTTAATTAATTCTATTTAAATACATGAGAGGATTCGAAGATTCTATTCAAACACACTTGTTTAGGATCGGTAATGGCTTGTAATAACCAAAGGTAAAGAAAAGAATATTACTTATTATAACGTTAGTGATATTAATAAAATGCAGCCTTACTTGATTTGGTTGATAGCGACTTAACGAATGGACGATAATCCATTTATAGAAACGATAAAATATACGTTCTGCATTCATTCCATATGACGCCAGCTACATCTGAATCTCTTCGAGATAACTCCCCTGTGAATTACAAAGAACAATTTGTCGACTAGATTTATCATAGACGTGTATTCTCAAACTTTACAGATTGGAGCGTCCATGGCGTGCATTCACGGCCGGCTGGCCGACTGACATCATGGCGAGGAACCTGGGTATCAATTCTTCATTTATCAACGGTGACCATTGTTACGTACTGGTTAGAGTTTCTAGGTAAATATAATTCTTTTCACAACTTTATATAATCATACCAGAGGTACACTGTAAAAAATCATCTGCATGGCACCTCAGTCTCAACTATATATTTTTTTTATACTTACGTAGGTGGCAAACAAACTTACGGCCCATCTGATGGTAAACGTTTACTGTAGCCTATGGATGCCTGAAACACCAGGGGTGTCAGATGCACGTTGCCGACCCTTAAGAAACCTTAATATACCCTATTCTTGAAAACCCCGATAAATATTGGATGCCGAGTTGCTTGTTTGTTGTTTGTGTTTTTTATGTATGATTATGATGTGGTGCACCCGCCGGAGCACCACCCACCTACCCACCTCTCATTGGAGGATGATAAGGGTCAACTTATCATCCTCCAATGGTACCCCGCCAGCAAATTGTCAATCATAACAAGTTTTCCAATAATTATTCACCATGATTTCCATGGAAAACCGCCTGGGGTTTAAGCTAACTTGTACAGTGCTAGCAATGGAGTCAGTGGTCCTCTATACCCCCCTTCGTTGCCATACCAGAGGTCATCTTAGTCCTCTGAAATAGCAACGCATAAATGATATCATGGTAATAAGAAGTTCGTAGTGCTGTTCATGTATAAAAGCGACGGTTACCTTCTAATACATAAAGAAATTATTATCTACGAGTATAATTACGTTCCATGATTTCACTTGTATGGAATTCAATGTCAATTATATGCTGTGTGACAAGGATATTAGATTTCATTATTATAGCTACTCTACGAAAAAGTCAATATAAAGTAAGTTTCAATACAAGCAAGTCGAATGCTTACTGTATTCAACGGCACTTTAATGAGTTTAAAATTGTCATGAATAATAAAATTGTCAGGAAATAATTTATATAATTAATAATACATGTATCTCTATTCAATCACACACACAAATATTATTTAATAAAAAAATCAATAGAAACTTTTAATTACGGTCTAAAAATGTTGTAACATAATTCATACTATTTTAACTGCTAAATAAAATTAAAAGTTGTACTAAAACAATTGGTGACCTATCTATAAGATGAAAAGAAAAATGTTCTATATTAAACCTCTTCAAAGATTCAATTAACAAGTATATATTAACGCTATATTAATATATTAATTTCAGATTCCGTGAAACAGCCAAACTGAGCGATCTCCCATCAAATATTGGTGTGGAGGACGTTGTTTTCGATGCGATTAAGGATTCCGCTATAGGCGACACCGTGTCTATCGCGGACTTCATTAGGAAATATGGGTCGCATTACATTGCTTCATATGTGACGGGTAATTCATTATATCAGGTGAGGAAATTCCCTTGGATTACTAATTCATAATAATAAACAATCTTAACTACTCCCAAACTAAATTAATCTTCTACTATGGGACTTAAAGAAATGATAAATATGCCTAAATTAAAAGTTACTCTGCTTTTGTGGTAGTAATTAATATCTACCAATATTTTTTATGGATGATAAAGCAATTGTGCAGCAATTGTGAGGTGAGGTCAGTTAGGCCATGGTAACAAATTCACTAGGAATTTATCATGATGGTTTCGAGGAGAAAGCGCGTGGAGTTCAACCCGAGATAGATCATTGCTAGCAATCGGATTATTAATCCTCATTACTAACAATCCCCCCTATCTACCAATATTACTGATGTGATAGTAACATCGGTAATATTACAGTAAATGCGCCATATATGGCGCATTTTTGTGTTAGAATTTAACATGTTTAAATCATCTTTCTTGTTATTGAATCCACTTGACATAGTTTAATATTTCTTGAAGTGATGAACTTAGGTACAAAGTTACCTAATAACATGACAAGTCAACTAAAACCAAGAATAGCTCCTCTGAATGCGTAAGTGCACAGTGTGCACACTACCACTTAAAACCCGTTATTTAGAACATAACAATTAATATATGTGTAAACAACTATATAAATAAATAACTCTGGACAATTAACACCACGCCATCTAGTCCCACGGTAAGCAGAGCTTGTGTTACGGGTGGAAGGCAACTGATACAAATACTTAGATATTTTTTTTCCAGTAAATACATACGTAATATATATAGAAAACACCCAGACCTATACAAACAATCAGACTCATGAATACAAATGTTTGTACCGTGCGAGGAATCGAATCCGCGACCATCGGAAGCGGTGTGCTTAACCGCTAGACAACAGAGGCAGTTAAATAAAAATATTTTGATACTACAGTTGGAAGTATATTTTTTTACATTATCTTATGAGATCATCTTATGCCTTCTTTCGATAAATTGCTCAAACTTAGCTAGCTTATCAATAGTCTAGTGATCACCGGACACTGCAGCCGTATGACGTCACTAATCACGTGACCGGACACGGCCGGGAACATACCGGGCGAAACGTGCGCCGTGTTTTAATCCACACCTCTTAGTTTTCTAAACAAAGGCTAAAACGCGATATGGCTGTATTCAGTTACTCGACAATTGCTTTTTGTGTCACGTTTTTTATATCCTGCCTGCGAGTAGAAATACAAGAAAACGAATGCACTATTGTTTGTTGTTTCGATATAAAAAAATACTTTTTTTTATTACGGCTCGCTGTCTCGATTCAAAGAAATGAGAATGAAGGTAGGTAGGTAGTAGTGATTAATTGATCAATATTACATAAAGGTATAATGGATTCCTTTGGTAACGATAAGAGAATAATTAAATCATAAAATGTCAATTTAGTAGCGTATACGTATCCACCAATATTTTTTTATGTAACTTCGATGCCATTCAAATATGCCATTATTCGAATGGCATAGATTTTGCATATTTATTATTTATATATGTAATTTTATATATCTCTGGAATAAACATTCGTATACAATATTACTACATAGTAGTGGTACTAGTCGTATACCAAGATAAAAATGAAATATTTATGAACTTGAACAAATCTCCCCAAGTGATAAAAATGAGAAATTATTTTAAATTTTATTTACAAATTTCTCGATCACGTGATCCATTATGTATAAAAATTTTAAATATATTTTCAAATTCTTACTTCTAATAATATTGAAACTTGTTAGTTTTATTATTATTCTGGTAAGATCCGCTGTAAAAAACAGATTGACACAATTTTGCATTTACTATATTATTAAGTCGTATGGATTAATTATTACATAAATTAATATTATAATGTTACCAGGTATTCGTGTTCTCCCGAGGCGTATACGCCAGGATAAAAGAGCGAGTGAAGTCAGGTGGCGTGAGCGAGCTACCGCCCGCTGAGATAAACAACTTTTTCTCGCCGTTTTACGCTGAACATATTGGAGCTATCAAGGTTTGGACTGGTCGGCCTGATTCTAACTACAATTTGTATTGTGAGACGCAAACCCATATACAAGTAATACTAAATACGAATCAAATTAAATAAAAAAATCATTTATTCATATCGTCAGGACATTTTAGACGCTTATGAACGTCAAATTTTTTGTATTAACTTTTTTTACCTACCGTACATGACGTGGTCAAACGTCTTGAGTAGTCATACTCACTAAAATAACCAGACATGTGAAAGTATGGTGGGCTGGATCATTTGGCTCCCTAAAATATGGTCAAGCACAGTGATGACTGAATCCATCATACTCGTGAACGAGTACTGTTTGTAGGATCTGGTCTGCTCTAATCATAACTGAATAAGAGTGTAAATCAGTTGTAGATTTACTCTCTTATTCAGTTACTCAACCAGTTCGTGTATATTTAATATTTTTACTGTAATGAATTAGTAGGTACATTTCTAATTAAAATGTAAAGTTACAACTAAATTATATTAGAATACACCTTGTATTTCAGAATATAATGCTTACCATTTTCTATTAGAAGGCAAACACTATAAATGTTATTTATGGCATAGGCATGTATTACGTCTCATAATATATATATCATAACAATTCATCCATCATCATTCATACATTTACATAAATTTCTGTTTCAACGACATTTAGAATCAGGCCGTATTAAGCATCGCCATTTCATCTTATTATACATTATCATTAAAATCAATGTTATTCTACAATGGTCATGCTCAAAAACTTCTTTCTAATACGGACATAAAATATCATTTAAAATCATTCACATCATTGGATCCATTATTCAGATCATTATAACATTTCCACTTCATTCTTCCGTTTCTCTTTCTAGAGGCATTCAGCATTTTGTAAAAATATATGCTAATTTTTCTAAAGCTCTACAAACGCGATAAATTTGTTGGTTGGCCGGTTCACTAGTATATTTGCTCAGTAATTCCAATTAAGAATTAACCATACCACTGAGCAAGTAACCACTATGTTTCAAATAACATTGACCAACTGTGAAATCGTAATGTGACCAATAGTGATGTTTATGATAGTCTATGGTAAGTATACCATTGACAAAGAGAGCATTACTTCTTAATTTTATGCAGAAATTAGCAAAGAAGTTTTTAATAACAGTCCAACTTTGTGACACATCTCGGGAGGACACAACACCTGATTATTGTACACACATATAAAAAAATAAAACCATGAATGTTGTCTATGCTCTCACCAGGTGTTTGTGTTCTCTAGAACCGCATACTCTATGATCAAAGAGAGATTAAAAAGCAAAGGCGTCGCTGAAATAACTGCCAAGGAGTTGGAAGGGTACTTCTCGCCTTGGCATGCAAAGCATATCGGTCAAATAAAGGTAACACTAACTTATAGATAGTACTTTTTTATTGAGGTTTTACTTGCAGCACTGCGACCTGTATAGAACTATTGTGCTCGCCTTATATAGGTAGTACGTACGTAATTGAAATAATTTGAAAAGTATATAAAATTATATTAATTTTTGTTCGAGACAAATAAAGACGATTATTATTATTATATATACCTTTTGATATTAATATTTAAAAATATGTACAACACTAATTAACCCGGACACGGCTAAACTATTTTTTATGTAATGTGAACATATAACCAAAAAATATGACTTCTTAAACGTTGTTGGAGAGTCAAATTTAAATACTACTGATAAGCTATTTATTCAAGTAAGTATATACCTATACATACATACATATAGACACTTGTGACTAAAGTGTAGAAGTACATAAATGTTGGAATGTTTTGCAAGATTTAAAGTTTTACAAAATTTTATATTATAAGTTAAAGTGTATTATGAACTGCATATGTAAAATTATTACCCTAAAATCTATGCTTCATACATTCACATAATCACTTATTCATTCACTACATGTTCATTGTCAGCATGATAGCAACTAAGTACTTGATACTATGATACTATGATTGAAGTTACTGAACAGTTCTTATTTTTAATACTCGTTTTTTTTAAATATATAACAACTCATTTGTAGACATTAGGATTTCGCTTTAGAGTTACTTGGCACATCAATTATTGGATACAACTTCATTTTGACATTCTTACTAAAAAATATATTATTTAACACTAAAATGTTAAATTATGTTTCACAGGTCGCAAGCGGCAACAAAACCGTTGAAAACTGGGCGATGAAGCGTTTAAAAGTCCATTACTACATCTTCTCGTACCCGAGCCTCCTGAAATTGCACGGAGAACCAGCTCTACTGCGAAACCTCGATACTTTATTAGGAAACGAAGCCTTATTACAATTAGAATTAAAGACATTATCGCCTGCTTTTAAGGATGTTAAGAAAAAGAAGTGGTTCGAAGAAGTCATAGATAATTATTTAAAACTGTGGGAGAGCAATATGTGATACAAGGAATACAAACTTATAGAATACATTAGCGTACCTAAATTTAGAAAAAAAAAATAGTTACAAAATGAGTTGCCAGCGATAGTTTGGCTTGAGGTAATTCTAGAATAAACACATACCGATTGAGTATTTAATTGAGCATATTGATTAGCTACTTATTTCAAATCAATGTATTCGATTAATAAAAACTATTTTTTCATATTTCGAGATTAATTATTTTGAAAAATATGTTGCCAGTAATAAATGAAAACTTTTTTACTAGGCTTATTGAAAATGTCAAATTTATTTTTACAATTAAAAATATTAACAATTGCATATGATGATTGAAATTTAGTTTTAAGTACAATTGAGATATTGAAAAATGTACAACACTGCAGCAGGACTGTGATGACTACGGTGATGGTATAAAAATGGTCAGTGGGTCCTTTATCAGTTACAATTTGATAATTTTACAAAGTAATATTAGAGAACAAAATGTGATCATAGTTAAGTGTTAACAGTGAAAACGAACTACTTATGTAGGCGTAGATAGGTAAATATAGTAATATTTTTGTAAATAGTATTATAATACGAACAGTGCCTTAAACTCTACAAATAATATTTTTAATTTATATTTTTTCTGATATTCCACAGATTCAAATATAATATTTATCAAATTTCGAAGGTTCTTGTGTATTTGTTAAAATCATTAGGCCGTATTACACTTGTAAATTTTACATACGTAAGATAATATATGCGTGGCTATAGTGATCGTTTCCCTAAACTAATTTGATCCCACTAATATTTTACATACAGGTAGCTCATAACGACTTGTAGTAATCTGCTTTATACAATTAAAGAAAAGAATTATGGCTTACTAGATTATAATGTGATTTATTAAACAAATCAAAGTGCAATATTAGTTGTTCAGTTATATTTACAATACAACAAGGGATCAATGTCAGAATGCATTTACATTGATGTAAATATTTTTCGAAAACTTTATACGAGTAAGTGATAATAAATGTTTACGACTGATGGTGTTTATTTTTTATTTTATCCAAAACTAAGTTACCTTTTTACGACTGTACAGCAGAAGGAATTGTTCTATGACGAATATAGATTATCGTCCATCTAATAATAGTTGGCCCATTTCTCATTCTTTCTTTACATATAAATAAAAATTGTAAAATCGTGGTGGGGCGAAATTTGTGTGATAAAGTTTTACGTTTATACGTCTTAAGGAATTAGGACAAAGTTATCATAGCTATTATTTTGTTAAATGGGTACCATTTTATAGCAATTCCCCAAAACTCACCACAAGGTTCCTAGCCCAGTTAGTTTCCGATCACACCGGAACGTACGTCCGGGATTCATAATTAGATTAATAAACTACTCTATTATTGTAATAAATAACACTAACATTAACACTAAAAATTATTTGTATTATTAATAAAGAGTTGTCATTAATTCACAATTAATGAATCAATGAAAAACCGTCTAATATTATTTAGTTACTACGATACACAACAGATGGCGTTGTATAAACGTTTTATTTGACGTTTGATTACCACCTATAGATAGCGTCTATAGCGTTTATAAGATACAAATATTTTACTGATTATTAGCTACAAATACTACTATATATAGTAATATCTATAGGTAGTATAAAATGAAGTCGCTTCCGTCAGTGGATGATGATAATATTAGCAAGAGGTCAGGTCAGGTCAGTTAGCCCATCGCGACATATTCGTCAGGAATTAAACACAATAGCTTCCACAGAGTACGTACACTGCTAGTAAGTACATTGTTAGCAATGGGGTCACCAGTTCCCTTCCCCTCTTTAAACAAAATGCAGATAGGTAAGAGTTTCAAGACATTCATAAAAAAATCATGCATTAACATGAGTATGCTGATGTCTACAAGAGATTATCACGCGAAACGAGGTCGTTGGCTGAATTGTAAATCTTGTAATTTTATCATAATGTAAACCACATTTTAGTCTGATAGTAATGTCATTCAACTTTAAGTTTTCTAACGAGTCATACTAATCTATACCTATATAAAAGAATACCACTCTGTTGACGACGTCGGTAGTCTATCGGTTTAGCACCTCGTTTTACTTTCGATGTTCGCGGCTTCGATCACTCACAAAATGCCAACATTTGTATTATAAGTATGATTGTTGTAACGGTCTGGTTTGGTCTAATTTCTATGTACCTAGATATCTACATGTTTACATTAAAATATATTTTTTTCTGCTTGGCCTAATAATAGATGGCACTGTGTAAATCGGGTTATTATTATTATTGTAACTGGCTGATCTATGAATATGCTCAATAAATAGATACAAGGATTGTAACAAAAACTAGTGGCCCTATTTCTTGCAATATACCATGTCAGATCAACCTTTAAAATACTTTAAATGGTTCCAGAATTAATCGTATTTCCTGATGAATTCGCCACGATGTGATAATTGACCTGAATTCATCATCTTTCTATCTCCACATGTGCACCTGCTCTTACCGTTAGCGCTAGTCGATGCACTATTGCATTATCCATATTAAAAATAGGTAGTTTCATTTAGACAATACTTTCATAGAAAAGCGATGAAAGAAATCCTTGTTTTACCGCCTTAGGGGATAGATAGCAGTGAAGACTAGTGGATACAGATAGCTTAAAAATCAGTGCCTTAACATATACCAACGAAAAGACTTTTTATTTTAAAAATTCTTATTTATATTATATATGAATATTATAATTTACTATTGTTTTTATATACCCTTCTGTCATTGCGCTCTGCAATATTAAACGTCTAAAAGCATATCTCTTTTTTCTATCATTTATTATTACTTTTAATGCATTGGCACGACTCGATTTTATTATATATTAATAAACATATCTTAATAGGAGTACATTATAATTCAGTACGCAAATAAACTTCTCTGTTTAGTCGTTATAAGATAAGGTAATTCACATATAGAGTCGTGGGTTATCGGAAGGGCGTTCGAATGACACTGAAGGCCTTGATTTCAATTTCAAATATTAATTGACAAATTCTGCTGTGATAAAAATCTGTTTCTATATTGTATATAAGTAATAACTTCTAAGTAACATAACATAGTTATAGTTTGCATTCCTAAGCATTTCAATTAGGTTTTTTTTATTCATGTACGTGATGAGTTTGTTGATCATTTCTAGATAAGAATTGTTTTATTTTTAAAATACGTGACTCAAAATTTACAAACATTCACTTATTCATAATAATTAAAACCCCTTCCAAATACATTTTAATTGTCTTTTGATATTTTCTTTTAAAACCACTTTGTATAACGTCATCGTCATCCGCGAAGCATCTTGTTTTATAAGCTGTTCTTCTGTTGAAAGGTTATATATAGAAGTATAGGTAAGTCAAGATACGGAGACATAACATCTTAAGTCTTTCGGAATGGCAACGCATGATGTATCACTTGATAACCCGATGTACGAGAAGCTGTTCCTATATTGGCGACGGTTGCTGCTAATCCGTCAACTTGATTGCTATTCAATTTACATAAAAAATCTCAACAAAAAAAGAACTGGTTAAAAACTAAGTATAGGTGGTATAGGCATTTGGTTTAATGGTCATATCTTTTTGAATAAAAAGGTTTCTGTTTATACAATAATAATAAAATAATATACCAGGAATAACTGGAATTGAAACACAAAGTGTCATTTATTTCGATGAGTAACTACTTATATGTATATAACTATATACGAACTAATCTCTTAGGTCAAGTTCATAATGTTTACTGGAGGTTAACGCTAGCAAAATGTTAAAAAGTATCAGTCCACGCGACGCACGCAAGCGGTAAATCATACACAATTTAATTTATTACTTTAAAGTTTTAATATGTTGTTGTTTTCTCTCTTTCTGATATTCAGTTGTGATGTGTGCGTGAGCGAGAAAAGTGATTTAGGATACGGACTCAATATTGGAAATGCGATCGACGTATTTGCAAAGTATGTTCTTGTTTTATGTATAGTTGTTTAATGTGTGTATAGATAAATGGAGAGGAACAAGATAGTCTGATAGCTGTGATACTATATGTATCTGTATGTAGATATAGTGCAAATTGCTAACATGCGCAGTGACACCCATCGAATTGTGACAAATTGTTATTAATGCAGCTATAATTACGAAGAAATTTGTTTTCACATAAAATGAAACTGAGAACTATATTAGTAAATTATGGTCAAGATCTACAAATCAATATCTTCAAATGTGCTATTATAGTTTGATCTATTGAAATATAATTTATAACATGTATAAGAAGTAATAGAGCTGTAAAGAAATTGCACGTAACAATATACTTAGGTATTTCTACTATAGTAGTATTGTACTATAATGTTAAGATACCAAACTGTTTAAAAATTATAACACTACTCACATATTATTATGTAGTAATATGTATTGTATGAATGTTACCTAAGAAGTCACTTTTTCTAAAAGAAATTTAATGTAGGAAAATTTACATACAAAAACATAAGATTATATTAAATTTACATATAAAAACATAAATTACAATAGTAATCTTTTGTGGGGTCTAAATATTACTTACAAAAGTCTAGGTAGGTACATACAATTTAAGTACGAAACGATCTGGTCAAGATCGCTGGAAGGCATTGGATGCGAGCAGCGCAGGACCGATCGTCGTGGAGATCTTTGGGGGAGGCATATGTCTAGTAGTAGACGTCTTTCGGGCTGCGATGATGATGATGATAATGATGTAAAAATAAATTATTTTTGTATATTATAAAATAAATAAAATATATTCTGATAAATAAAAAAAAAGGGAAATTTAACTCTTTCCAGTTACGGCGATCTATCTCAAGTGACACAAGTGGTGTCAGCTGATTATGAAGATGAGAAACAAGAGCCAACTGTACCATTTAGCGAGAAGAATATTAGAGTATTCACAAATGCTACCAGCTCAGAAGACAACAACGAAGCTTCATCTCAAATGGACATATTGCTGTGTGAAACATTCGAAAACTTGTTAGACACGTATTTTAGTAACTTTAAAATTGAAGGGTGAGTATTTAATGACAAGTGACTTACTTTAATGTGGCAAATTCAATTTATTTTAATATGACGTGGTCTAGTGTCGTGAAGATTGTCAAGTGTATTTCTATTTGTAATGGGAATGGTATACCAGTGTATACCTTTACCACAGGCGCTAAATTTCACGATGATGATGATGATGGGGACACACGTTACCGCGTTCAATCAACCTGATATGGTACACTGCTAGTTCCCATTCCGAAAGATAAGAGAATATTACATACCATTACTACTAATCACCTCCTAACAAGTACTGTTAGATAGCAATGGACATCAAAAACTAAAGGGTCCCCTAGGACTAGGGTTCATTCTAGTCTAAGTGACACAATCCTTGGGTTCTGTTGGTCGAGAAAAGTCGAGAACTCGAGATTAAGTACATATATAGAAATTAAATTGACGTTTGTTGTATTGCGTGGCAACAATAATACAAGATTTAGTTTTCTTTCATGAGAAACTATTTTTGAATTTAAGGTAGATTTTTTCTAAATAACCAGCCAAAAATGCTGTCATTATAAATATAAGTCTGAATAATATTAGCTAACATATGAAAGTGGTGTTTTGTAACCAGTATTTTTTTTTCAAAATATAATATGTTTATTTAATCAAACTATTGTATATGTATACTATATGTACCATTGCTATTTATGCACTTTTGCCATCTCATAGGTACTTCATTGATCCCTTTGTGAAAAAAACATTTGAACGGGAACATTTGGACATATCAATAAAATCTTTGTACTTTGGACTGCCTCATCGGATTTGAATTTTTTCCCAATCAGTTATCCAAATTTCGAAAGAAATGGTAATCTGTTGGAGCAAGAGAGCAATTTAAGTCTTAGACATTACAATAGAATATAATGTCAGTTGTGCAGTGTGTGGTCTAGCGTTGTTAATGATGACGATTGAAGTTGAGCTTTTCCATTATGGTTTCTCAATTGCTGCGGTTCAGCCATTGCGATGAGCGTTTCCATTATATTACAAGATCCACATCATCACAGGTTCGATTTAAAATCCCTTTATTATTATGCCGGTTGACTAATGTAACGCAGCAGTCTATGCGCGTTTGTCGTGTCTACTCAATTCAAGACCTTTTAAGCTTTTTCTCCCAATTTGCTATAAGTGGATTAATACAGTTTTATCACTAACACCGCAACCTGAAACTAACTCTGACGTGGTTTGCGATGGATCTGCTATCATAATTACCAACCTTGGATTCCGGCCGCCCACGGGGATTGTTTTGCTAAATTTCAGAACGAAAACGTTGCAACCAACAATGCATTGTGTTTTCTTTTGGACACCACCACTATACACATCACGAGCCGTTTCTGCAGCACCACCCCGTGCCACGGCGGAACTCGTACTCTTAAATAACGCGATATTTTAAGTTTTCCATTTTGTGATGACCCAAAGAAAAAATGCACATGTATTACGGTTTTCGAAAAACAAATGCATGAGTGAATCCGTATAAATTTGAAATTGAAATTTCTAACCAAAGAGGAGATATTTAAGATCAAAGTGGCCAGTACGACAAAACGCTAATTTCATATTTAAGAACCTAATATATTACAGTATTTAAAAAAAAATTTGCTTATTCATAATATGTATAATGTTTTTAAATATACCTACTCAATAAAAGTTTTATAATTAATTTTATAGTTAAATTTTATAATTAATATTTAACAAAAAATGCTGTGGTTTTCGTATCAAATGAAACCACTGAGTTTTTTGACAAGAACAAAAAATAAACCAAACGTATGTAAATGTAGATGAGACAACCCGAGACAACCCGAGAAGACGAGAAATTAACCTCGAGAATTCTCGAGACTGATTGAAAAGCTCGAGAAATCATGAACCCTACCTAGGACCCACAAGTCACCTTAGAATCCCCTCTCTGCAGCCTGAAATGTTGATACAGACGTGTTTTCTCCTCAATTCGTAATATTTGTTACAGAACAGACAAGCCATGGAAAGCTTTCATGGGGGACTGGATATTTGACGAGATGCTGCGCACTTTGGGCATCATATACGACGGAAAAGGCGACAACTGTTGCTACGTCCTTATCAAGCTGACTAAAATACATAAGTCCGTCAAACTTGACGATTTGTCACAAGTAACAATAAAGGACTACGTCGAAACGGCTATAGATGAATTGGACTTTAGAGATCCAATTAAAGTTAGGAAATTCATGAAGAGTTATGGGACGCACTATATTGATTCTTACGTTACTGGCAACTTCATTTATCAGGTATAAAAATAAAGATAGATATAACATAATATTTGCATTATGTAATTAAATATTTCTTTTAAATTGTTTATAAAAGGAAAGGTATAAATACAATAAAACCGCTTACGAGGATTGCGGAGTAAGGAATTAAAGACAAATACTTATTATATATAGATATACTAACAATTATAATAATAAATAATAAAATTTAATAAATCGTAGATAATAATCATCTAGATCACGTCAGCTCTTAAACAAAATCAACTCCCTCATAATTGGTTCATTTGATTAGATGTTACGATACCATACGCAAATCATATAGATACGTCAAACATCTAAACTACTCTTTAAAGATCGTGGTTTAATAATCCTAATAATTACTTTAAAAAATGAGCAGCAAAATTAACCATGAATCAAATCTTTTATGATTTAATTACGATTACTAGCTGTTTAATTTTTCTCCTTTACCTTCATAATTTACAAAAATATTTTATTATTGGTTTCTTACGTTATAAAACAAAAATACATTCCAAATTTTAGCTCTTTAAACTCCATGTTACACGTAAATTTTTTTCAGGTGTTCAAATATAAGAGAAATTGGTTCAACATTCTGAAGGCTAAGATACGCAATGCACGTCACACGGGATCAAGTAATCTACGAATCTATTTCTCTTCAATCTTCTTGACTCAAGTTGGCGATATCAAGGTTTGAATATTTAACTTATCATAATTAACATAGACTTGCAGGTTGTGGGACCAGATTGCGACGAGTCCTTTAATCAGCATAGTGGCAGTTAAACTCTGGACTTAAATTATTTTTATATAATTCGAATAAAAAATAAGCTTCAGCCCACCTCTTAGTAAGATGTGTCGCTTGTATCATAAAGAGCATGGTATAAACGAAATTCGGTATTCAGGAGGACAAAGATATCCTGTAATTAATATAATATCCTGTACACCCGAACTATATCCCGTTCAACCGAAACACATCTTAAAAAATAAATTAGTGACTAAAATAGGTGAGACAGAGATACTACACATGACATTGTACAAAGACTCCCTCTGGTAAAAATGTATATTAAATCTTATTGTTATTCGTTTATTATTCCAATTATTGCAATAACAACTTTATATTCACAGATAGCGAGCGGTAACAAGACAGTAGAAGACTGGGCGCGACGCAATCTCCGCGACAGTCAGTATTTATATTCGAGGCCGAGTCTACTGCGATTGCAGTACAGCCCTAAGTTAACTTCTAAACTCAATCAGTTTCTCGACAACGGAGCCCTATTGGGACTGAGTCTTAAGACTTTAAGACCGTTATTCAGAGACCGGCGTAAAGGGAATCTTTACGCTGAGTTAGTGGAAAATGATCTCCAATTGTGGGAGGTTAATGCTTAGGCATTTAAATTAAAAGTGAGATAATAAAGTAAATTAATAGCAAATTAACTAACTCTCTATTCATAAAAATAAACTTACTTTAGTTAATTAATAAAAAATAATTGCCTCTTTTTAGAGTTATTTTTTTCATTTCAAAGAAACAACAGTAGCTCTGTAAATTGGGTGTTTTAGTTTTAACAACAATGAGTATGGAATACCGGTGGCAAAATTTAACTTATCATAGCTATATTCACCATCTTTTTGTATTTGTGTGATATAAATTAGTAACATATTAATTACAACTAATATTATTATTATAAAAGCAAAGTTCTAGCATAATGTCACTAGCAACCATGTTATACTAAAGATTACTAAATAAAAAAATATACGTGAATCATTCAAAATTCAAGTATAAAATTGATAGATCTATTAATATAATAATCACTGCGATTTTTTCCTGCAACAAAATGTGTTTTGTTAGTTGGCAACACATTATCACAATAACAGTATTTTATATATTTACTTATGAAACAAGTTCCCTAAATACCTGTATCCACATTTCCCTTCACGTCGACAGCGAAATGACCACCTAAGAAAAACGGAATAACTAAATTAAAATAATATAATGCCTACTGGTTCAATTGTATTAAATTTCAATAGTACAAAATAATGTATTTTCCCAAATACGTTTTGTATTGAAATGGTAATCATATTGTATTACAAATAAAATAATAATTATAAATTGATTTCTCGTTATCATTTCATCTTCAATCATCAATTTTCCCCATTATTCATTCATACATGCCTACCAACCTGTAAACTTTGACATGTCAAATAATATAAAAAGATTTCTATTAATGTATTGTTATTTATTTCATATAATAATAGTTTATTACATTTAAACATACAATCATAGATATTAAATGATATTAACTACTTGAGTATTCCAGTCCTATAAATATTCAGTTAATAATAGTTACTAATTAAAATTAATATTTTAAATATTAAACATTGAATAGTTAATATCTACAAACAAACACAGATTAAATATGCATGTTTTAGGACAATCCTAATGAGATCTCACTCTACCGCTATCTGTTGGAATCCGTACGAAATATTATCACAACCTCTCTTATAATTAATTTATTTTAAATTACCTATACATTTATAAATGATAAATGTTACATGAATTTGACAAGATTTGGAATATATTTATATTCTTGATAATCTGTTTTACATATGGTAGACTATCAGAAAAGAGTGATAAATAAGATTATATATGATTTATATATGTACGTACTTAAAAACTACCCTCAGACCAAGATTTCGTAGCCGTGGTATCAGAATGTAAGTTCATAACTTTTTTATTATAAACCAACTAAACATCATTTTTAATGAAGTTCGCCACTCTACAATAGAGAAAACTGCGCCAAAATCATTGTTTTGTGTTTATAATTGAAAAAGTCTCCCAATAAAAGTTTTTGTCCTATATCTTTCATATACTGAGAGTTATAATTATAAGTTATATTTTTAGTACAAGTATAAAAAAATCATCATTTGTTTTTCTACACAGAAATGCAAACAATTGACAGACACAAATCATTTATATAGTATTTTGGTTATTTTTGGTCAATTTATGAATAAAATAATATTATTATTAATATTGATGGATAAAAAATTAATAATGTTACAAAATGTCTTTCTTACACTCCTCACAATTCTGGACATCATATTAGAGCAGCCCGACTGAATTTACTGTTCAGTGGTATGTGTAATGATGTCCATTTTTTGCCTGGGTCATTTCAATTCGTATGTGCTTGTTGCTTTAGTGCCTGCATACTGGTCGCGTCCTACACGTTTGCCATTCACCGTGATCGACATTGGATTGTTCAGGCGGATTGATTTGAAGTTGTATTTCTGTAAATTATAATATTGTTTTGTTGCAATTATACACACATGAGAATGACGTGGCATAGTAGTTTAATACCTTGAATTACACCCGTTGTCAGTTCAAACCTCAACATAGTGACATCAAAATAAAAATATTTTGTGTGTCCATTTATATTTCTGACTAGCTGTACACGCGACTTTGCCTACGTGGAATTTAACTTTATTTTCTAAAATAAAAGTAGCTTAATTTACCCCTTATTACATCAGCTACCTGTCAAAAAAAGTCCCGTCAAAATCGATCCAGCCATTTCAGAGATTAGCCGGAATAAACAGACAGACATACAGACAAAAATTGTAAAAAATGTTATTTTGGTGTATGTACAGTATTTATATTCATATGCATGTAAAAACGGTTATTTCAATGTTACAAACAGACACTCCAATTTTATTTATATGTATGTATAGATTGACTCTCCAACAAAGTAGACTACGAAAATAAACAGTAAATTTCTATATATTTGTGTTTTAACAAATATTTTATGTCAAATGGGTAATAAGTCTTAAGATTTAATAAATTGGACATTTCAACATTGTGTTGTTAGTTGCACTAGTGTTACCCACTCGCTAATAGCTATGCCTCACTATGAGGCTGACTGGTAGAGATCTCTTTTAGAGATACTTACCACCTTTGCCCATTTTGTATATAATTAAGTTATCTACTCTAGTTAAAAGTGCAATAATAATTATAATGAATTTACCACTAGTGGGGAATCGAACTGGTGCTCCCTCATCTGCGGATTAGGTAAGGAGACGTAGTCGCCGATGATGACGCCGCGGCCGTCTGCCCAGTTGTATACACTCACGCACACACATTCCATACTCTCGTCCACTATTGCGAAAGTACTGTAATTTTACAATATATAAATTAACAATAAATAATGAATAACCCCAGGATAATTCATACAGCGCCAGTTAGCTAGTGTTATGTGTACTAGACAACCGATAAAAATGGTTAAATATTTTTTTTGTAAATACATACAAAATTACATTGAAAATACCCAGAGCAATACAAACAATCATATTCATAAATACAAATGTTTGCATCGTGCGAGTAATGCAACCTGCAGCCACTTCAGTAAAGCTGTGCAGTAACTTGTAACTAGATGGCGCTGTGTGAATTGTCTCGAGATATCATTATTATTTATTTATTTTATTTATTCTTTATTACACTTATAAAATTGTACTATTGCCAATTGGAACTGCGAGCTTAATAATAAAAAAGACATTTATACATAATAATTTTCATTCAGAATATAATCAAAGTTTTCCGTTTGAAAACAGGCTCAATCTGTTCCAAAGACTAATCGCGGTGACAGTGAATGTGTTAGATATAAATCCATAATGGTGTGTAGGAGTAATTAATTACGTATTATGTTGTGGATACTAACAATGGCACAGAATTAACGTTGTGTATGGAGCCGACGACAACCCCGAGGGCCGTCCCAACGTTGCGTCCCGGCACCAACTGTACCAACTGCAAACGACCCGGTCCCACCGCACTGTCGTCAATAGACTGCAAAGAAAATACACATAACTAGTGACAACAAGAAACTGTAAAGCTTTCCCCAAGGTCTTTTTTTTAATACCATCACATAAACTGTGCAATCAATTCAGTATACTAATAGCCGCCCAGTAGTTGAAATTCGATCATACAACACAGGGGGGAGAGATTGCTAATAATGTGGACTAATAACCTCCTTGCAATGTACCATGTAGGGAATGCAATCCCGATCCCGCGGGATCCCGATCTCGCGAGATCTCGTGTAATTTTTCGGGATCAATCCCGACGCATCATATGACGAGATCCCGTTCGAGATTGACGGGATTGGGCGGCAGTGAAAAAGAAATAAAAAATATAATCACACGATTATATCGTAAAGAACCAAACCAAGCAGATATTAATACGGCAGTACTAATCGAAGATGACTTGTCTCTTTCAATGATTGCAGAAGATTTGAATTTACGTGCTGCACAAACTAATAAATCGCTTCAAGAGGAATTAGAAGAAACTCTGCGAGCTTCTAAAAGTTCTTTTGCACGTATATCCACGTCCGTGGACGTAGACTTAGACAAATTAGAATTTACCATTAAAAAAGAAATGGATTTGTTTGAGTGTGGAGGAACAAGGGGGCGATTTTTGCAGTTTGCATATAATTGCTTCGCCACGCTGTTGCCAACCAGCGTTGAGTCGGAGAGGGCATTCTCAGCAGCGGGGTACATTGCAACGGACATTAGATGCCGTTTAGCAGATGAAACTATTAATACCCTTTGTTTTTTAAGGAGTCATTTTCAAAATCACTCTCTTTCCTAATTCCCTTGAAATAAGCTTATTGTTTAATTAGGGAATTTTCTATAATTTCAATGAAAAATTGCAACCAATATACTTCTTTATTTTGAACCCTTAAATACTTGTACTGTAGGCACTTCCAACCATTATATCATTTAAAACAAAACCTTTAAAACTGTATTTCAGTAATAAATATGACAATATATATACTTTTCCTATAGTTCGCTTATGGTCTCTATATTATTTTGTCTTTTTTAAATTTTGTTGTTTACATTTTGGCGCCAAAATATTTTTTACTATTTTTTATGAATTTATACACACTAAGGAACATCCTATACAGCTATATTGGTATTATAAACTCTTATTATTATTTTTATCAACATATAAATCGTAGGATAATTAAACATTCCGCCCACCAAGGACGAAATGTCCTTCATTATAACCGCCCACCATGAAACAATTACAGCAAATATTCAGTAATATATCATTATATATAAAAATAAAAACAAAAAATATTACTTCTAACCAATCTAAACTAATTCAATGTTTATAAACTAAATACTCTAAAATACACAAGCAAGTAAAAATAAATTAGAATTGTCCTTTCTCTATCGGTAGTATACACAATTTAGACACTGCACGTTTTATGATAGAATTTTTACATTTTAACGAGACAACACGAGTTATATTATCGATACCTGGATGTTTTTGTACTATTCTGCCTAAAAGCCATTTTGTCGGAGGTAAATTATCCTCCTTAACTAAAACAACATCCCCAATACTGGGTTCAGGAGTCTTATTCGCCCACTTGTATCTTTGCATGCATTGACTGAGGTATTCGTTTGACCATCTACGCCAGAAATGCTGCAGCATCCTCTGAATCAATTGCCATCTTTTCAAAGAATTAATATTTCTGTCTTCGTAATTTATAGCTGGAACATTGAGTAATGACTCTCCTATTAAAAAATGACCCGGTGTCAGTGGATTAGGCTCCTCTGAGTCGTTACTTAGTAGTGATATGGGACGTGAATTTAAACACGCTTCTATCTGAATTAATAGCGTCGCCATTTCTTCGTATGTCAAAATTGCATCACCGATGACCCTTTTTATGTGATACTTTGTGGCCTTAATCCCTGCTTCCCATAAACCGCCAAAATTCGGAGCTTTAGGAGGTATAAAATGCCATTCTGTATTATTTGTTGCCAATTCACTAGCTATCTCTGGAATCATTGCAGATTTTTCAGCTTCAAACAAGTACCTTAATTCTTTAGAAGCACCAACAAAATTAGTGCCATTATCACTCCATAATTCGGAGCAATGACCTCGTCTTGCTACGAAACGTTTGAATGCATTTATAAACCCTCTGGAAGTTAATTCACTGACCAATTCAATATGAACGGCCTTTGTCACCATGCATACAAATAAACACACATATCCCTTATAGGAACGGTTTCCTCTATTCCTTGAAGTCTTAATGTTAATAGGACCCGCGTAATCTACACCACTGCGAAAAAATGGTCGCACAGGTGTCACGCGAACAGAAGGTAATGACCCCATAAATGGAGTCTGTGTTTTAGCTCTTTCTCTTATGCATTTTACACATTTCCGAACATGAAATTTCACTAAATTTTTAACGCCCACAATCCAATACGCTGATCTTAAATAATTTAGCATAAGACTTGGTCCACCATGCATGGTCTTTTGATGAGAATGTGCTACTATTAAATGAGTCAGATGAGCATCATGGGGTAGTAAAATTGGATGTTTAGCATCATAATCCATTTCAGATTGATCTATTCTACCGCCAACTCTTAGAATTCCCTTTTCATCAATGAAAGGACTCAATATTTTAATTTTACTACACTTTGAACTAATTTGTTCATATTTAATTATCTCTGTAATCTCCTGGTTAAAACTATTCACTTGACATATTTTTATACAACAAATTAAAGCTTCATCTAATTCCCATTTATTTAAGTACCAGTTTTGAAAATGATTGTATCGTGGATCACGTTTCATTATAAATCGTCTACAAAACGCCACAATTCTAATTAGTTTATTAAGACTAGAATACTTGTCTAATAAAGAGCATTTAATAGCAACTAAGTGAACTCTGACTACTTCTTCTAAACGTGTGTCATTGTCTTTTAGTTTGTTAAGAACAACAATTTTCTGCTGTAAAAATTCAGGGCCGAATTTCCAAAGGTGATAATCATTAAGCAAAGTTGGGCTTAATCCCCGTGATGCACAATCTGCTGGATTGTGCTTAGATGAAATATGATTCCAATGGGATGAGTCTAAATTAGATAAAATTTCCGATACTCTGTTCCCAACGAATGTTTTCCAGTTACTAGGATGTTTATTTAACCAGGCCAAAACAACAGTTGAATCAGTCCAAGCGAATATATGATCGACAGAAATATTCATAACGAGAGCTATTTCAATGAGTAATTTACTTAATATAACTGCTCCACAGAGTTCCAGCCGAGGTATGCTGACCTGTTTAACTGGTGCTACTCTAGTTTTAGCACCAACTAATGAAACATGAACCGTGTTGAACTTATTTACAATTCTCAAATAAACAACTGCTGCATAAGCAGAGTGTGATGCATCGCAAAATCCATGCAATTCGACATTAGAATCATCAATGCTCGTATGCATCCATCTGGGAATACGGAAATCCGTAATTTGTACTAACTCATTTCGGTAAGTTAACCATTCTTTTATCAAATTTTCAGGTGCTTCTTCATCCCAATCTGTGCCACTTAACCACAACTTCTGTATCAAAACTTTAGCTGATATCACACATGGAGCTAACCAACCTAATGGATCATATAACTTAGCTATATCCGATATTATTTTTCTTTTTGTTACAGGTGCAGTAAGCGGAGGCAGTTTAACCGAGTACTGGAATTCATCATGACTTCTATTCCAGGAAAGACCTAAGATTTTTACTACACTATCTGTTTTAATTTCTACATTTTCCTTACTATTTGCTATTATTTCTGTCCTTTCCTGATCACTGTTTATCATTTTTATTATTTCATCTTTGTTACTTGTCCATTTCTGTAATGTGAAACCGCCTTTATTTAATAGTGCATTCATTTCATAATAAACTTGCATAGTTTCTTCTATAGTTTGTCCTCCACTCATTAAATCATCCATATAAAATTCACTGTTTACTTTACTAGCAGCTAGTGGATATGCAGATCCTTCATCAGACGCAACTTGATTAAGCGTTCTTACTGCTAAATATGGAGCAGAAGATGTACCAAACGTTACTGTTAACAATTTATAATCCCGTATTTCATCATTTGGGTTTTCTCTCCATACAATACGTTGAAAATTTGTGTCTTCCTCCGTTACTTGAACCATTCTGTACATTTTAACTATATCTGCAGTAAGACAAACTGGGTAACATCTCCATCGTATAATAAGGTAACGTAATTCTGGTTGAAGTGTAGGACCGACTAATAAGCTATCATTAAGTGATACACCATTATTATTTTTACAGGATCCATCAAAAACTATTCTTGTCTTTGTAGTGATCTTGTCCTTCCGCACAACCGCATGGTGCGGCAAATAAACTGAATAGTTTATTTGATCATCAGGCTGCTCTACCAAACTCATATGATTTAAGGATAAGTACTCATTAATTACCTTTAGATAATCATTTTTGAATTCACAATCTCTATCAAATCTTTTTTCCAGTTTCTTGAATCTATCAACTGCTATTTTACGTGAATTACCCCCCTGGCACAAAAGATTATCATTTCGGAATGGTAATTTAACAATATATCGACCTGTTTCGTCTCTTTTCGTGGTAGATGTATAGATCTGTTCACATTGTTGTTCTTCTGGTGTTAACATTTTTTTATTACATGTACTCTCTGACTCTAGTTCCCAAAAACGTCTTAATATATTATCATCTTCTATATGACTATGCAGAACAACTATATCGCTCTCTTTATTTATACATTCAACAGATCCTGACAGAATCCAACCTAAAGAGGTTTGTTGTGCTACAGGGGATTCATTTAACCCTTTCATTATTCCTTCTTGTAAAATTTGACTGTAAATTTCCGCTCCCAATAAAACATCGATTTTATTAGGACAGTCATAATGTGGATCCGCAAGGGTAATGTTGGCGGACTTTATCCAATCTATTTCAGCCACCTGTTTAGAGGGAAGATGAGAAGTAATCTGTTTTATTACGTGTGCTGTAACTTTAGTATGGAATGTGGGTTCAAACATTGACTGAATTTCTAGCAACACTGTCCCTTTTAAAGCTACTGAACTATTGTTTCCACCAATTCCAGAGATTATTCCCCTTCCAAATGATCTTTTCAAACCTAAATTTTGTATAGTAGCTTCTGAAATGAATGACGCTTGCGAACCCTGATCTATAAGTGCTCGAATTATGTGATATTGACCCGATCTTGACTTGACCTTTACTAGAGCTGTGGCTAATAAGACCTGTTTCCTGGTCTTACTGGTACCGAAACAAGTTACTATTGTATCTACTGTAGGTTCCTCTTGATTATTTTTCGTAAGTTCATTAACTGTATGTATTAGAACATTTTGATTGCTATTTTCAGAGCTCATGTTTGGTGGATGAAGAAGAGAATGGTGTCTTTTTTTACATATCCTACAATTAATAGCTTTTTGACAGAATCTCACAGAATGATTGCTCCCCAGACAATTAAAACAAATACGGTTATTTGCAACAAACTCATGTCTCTTATTGTAACCTTCCGAAATAAACTCTTTACAGAAACATAACTTATGATTACCGGTACAATATTCACAAACTACTTCAAATACATTAGCATGTAATACCTTAGATCTAATGGGGGTTTGTACTACATTTCTAGATTCCAATCTTCTAATATTACTAGGTTCAACAAATTCGAGAGCTCTGTATCTATTGGTAAGAAAATTCTTGAATTGATCAAATGTAGGTAAAAGATCTGAAGTACTATTATTACTAATGTTAAGTTCCCACTGCTTACGCGATTCAGAGTCCAATTTTAAAGTAAGTACATGAATTAATATAATGTCCCATGACGAAACATTTATTCCGATATTCACTAAAGCATTCAAACATTCAGTGGAAGTATCCAGTAAATCTTTAAGAAAAGCTGCTGATTCAGTAATAGCATTTTTTTGATTTAGAAGCCTAGTAAGTATGCAATGAGATAAATATTTCCTATTATTATATCGCTCTTCAAGTTGCCTCCAACATAAGTCGTAATTAGTGTCCGATACAGATATGTGCCTTACAAGTTGCTCTGCCTCACCTGTCAAATATCCCTTAAGATAATGTAATTTTTGAACTTTATCTAAGCATGCATTATTGTGAATCATAGATTGAAATAAGTCACGAAAAGTAATCCATTCAATATATTTTCCTGAAAAAACAGGAATATTTATCTTTGGGAGCCTGACATGGCTAGACTTAGCAGCTGCATCATCATTATTAGTAGTTACATTTTCGTTACTCGATGTCTCTGGCATAAATTGTTTCAAAACTTTCACTAACTCACATTTATGATTTATATATAAATCTTCAGCCTTATCATATACATCATCAGTAACATAAATGTGGAGTTTAAATTTACATGGGTCAGCTAATTTAATAAGCTCTTTATGACCTGATTTAAACTCTGACCATAACTCCTCTATTATTTCCAATCTACTCTCAACATATTCTTTGGTAAAACGACCTTTAGGAGATTTTTTAAAATTAATCCTAGCTTTATCAATTCGTGCGTACAGATCATTTTGTACGTTAATTAAGGAATCCATTTTAATAAAAAATTATATTAACAAAATAATATGACTATCTAAACGTTTATAGATACAATTTTTATGTATTCCATATAATATGTATCAATCAAGTTTGAAGAACTATACACTAATATTATTTCTTTCACCTCTTATAACTACTAACTATTAATTGACATATAAAGCGCCTCCAAATTACTATGCATAGAGTTTTTAAATAAACCAAAAAACTTTGTTTGAAACAAATAAAACTTCAGGTTATTGAAGAGATACACACAGGTTATAGAAGAGTACCTACTAAGTATTTTACGTTAAAATCTTACATTTTTGGTTACAAGCAAATTTATATTAAGTACAGTTTAGTTTTAGTTATTATTACATCTATTTAAAAATTTATTAAAAATATCAACAAAATATTTAATTAATTAAATTTGACATGTAATTTTAAACCTTGTAAGCTAATAAATACAATACACAATACTACACACTCCACCGTATTTAATCGTAGACACAACACCGAACACCAATATTTATCGGTCGAAACCAATACCTTATACCTACAAATCGAAGAATACATAAAAGTTGAATAGATTAAAATATATCTTATTTATTAAAGTTTATAGATGATATAATACTATTACACTTCATTAAACCTGTTAACGTGTAGTTGATAGTTAATTTTTGAAAATATATCTTCATAGATTATTCTTTTCTTCTATGTATAAATTGCATGGAGAACTAATAATATAGATTGTACTCACAGTTTCCACTTCACTCACACATTAATAACGCGATGCCACAGCAATATTGTTTATCTGTTTACTCTATCTGACGATGGGTTGTATCGGTACTACTCCGAACAGCGCCGCCGTTTGCAACTAGTTGGACTACTGACGTCATGAAAACAACACTGTAGATGCTCTTTGAAGTGACGTCACCGATGCTACTAGTCGCTGTACTATGTACTCACTCTTCTTCTACACAAATTCTATATCTCTTGCAGCCTTTGGTATTTAATAAGGCCGAACTTTGGTATTACAAGCATTTAACACCAAACTGAACTTAAATCCGGCTCGAATCAGGACCAATTGTTTAATTAGGGAATTTTCTATAATTTCAATGAAAAATTGCAACCAATATACTTCTTTATTTTGAACCTTTAAATACTTGTACTGTAGGCACTTCCAACCATTATATCACTTAAAACAAAACCTTTAAAACTGTATTTCAGTATATTTCAATAAATATGACAATATATATATATTTTTCCTATAGTTCGCTTATGGTCTCTATATTATTCTGTCTTTTTTTTAAATTTTGTTGTTTACATTTTGGCGCCAAAATATTTTTTACTATTTTTTATGAATTTATACACACTAAGGAACATCCTATACAGCTATATTGGTATTATAAACTCTTATTATTATTTTTATCAACATATAAATCGTAGGATAATTAAACACTTATTGTTTTGATTACCTAATTTACCTACGTTAATTTCCTTACAACCTGATTATTATTTAGTTGGTAAGATTAAAGAATAAAGGTTTTTATTTTCTTTCGAGTAATATGTTATTTTAGTTAACCTCACTATCACAAACAAGCAGTTATTAGCTTTTTCAGTCATCTGAATTCAAAATTTTTTTTTAATTTAGACGGGACCCCGAATTTGCAATCTCGAGTCGGGATTGCATTCCCTAGTACCATGTCAGGTTGACCTGCACGTGATTTCCCCTGGAAACCATCGTGATAAATTCGTTGCCTCTAAGAGATTGCTTAGCGATAAGGCCGCCTATTGTACTCGTCATTGTTATACATATTTTTATATTAATTAATAGTTTCTGTAACTGGTGCAAAAAAGTGTAAAAATAAATAAATTCATGGTGAATTTGTCACGATGACCTGACCTCATGTTAATTTTTTTGTATTATGTTACTAATCAAGTATATTATCATATATTATTATTAATCAAGAAAACCCTCCTAACGCGAAGCTTCCAGTCAATCAATCGTATACGTCAGATAGTAAGGTTAATTAAATATAGATTATCAATAAAATAAAACTATAATAACCCTACTAACCTGCACCATCTGCGCCAATTTCTTATTTTTAATCTTCCCTTTAGTCCGAATTAATTCATTGATGTTCGCTAAATACTGCACGAGCCGTGCGCGTTCCTCTCGCGGCGTTTCCCAAGCCGGCTCCAATTCACAAGCGAACGCGAAATTCTCCAATGCCTCTGCGTAATTCTCCTCATATTTTAATGCCTACAACATTTGTAACTGTTATTAATTAATGTAATGAATAGAAACATAAAATACAGGACTACAGGTAAAATAACTTATATAAATGTTTTTGCATTTGTATATCAATTAATAGTATTAAATATTACATTCTCTGTCCATTTAAAACCATATTATTAGTTTATATAATACAAAGCACTATTTATATACATTATTATTACTATTATATTATATTATATACTACTATATTGAGGCATACGAATTGTCTTTGCATTATATAATTATCTACACTGATTTAAACAAATTGGGATAAAAACCCTAAAGATATCCATTTAATGTAAAGTTAGCAGATACATCAAACTGACAATGTTATATGTTTAATTCTTATTGTAATAGTTTTACTTACGATTCCTTTGTTGTAATACAAATCTGGCTGACCCTTTGCAGCAGGATCCAAACACGCTTGCCTATATGCACTCATACACAACTTCAATGTAGCCGGTTCCTGAGCTACTGTGAAGAATTGACATAAATATGCATTGCCTAATACGGTCCATGACATCCCATCTTTTATATCCTGAGCAACTGCCTCTTTTGCAAGTTCTACACTGTTGAGAACAGCTGAAGAGGCTTCTACACGTGTTTTGTCGCCAGATTCTTGTCGAAGTATAATCGACAAACAACGGAGAGAAAGTCGATTACGTTCCTAAAACAAAAAGCTACCAGTAAATAATTTTAAAGTCTCAACCAAATCTATAAAGAACAAGAGCAACATGAATAATACAATGGTGCTTCCGACTACGCTAAAGGTATTCGTTAATGGGGCACCAGTTAGTACCGGATTAGCCTAGTACTCAGAGTAACAAATATTATAGGCCCTGCACACTTACTTATATATGTATGTATATCATTTTTTTCTTTTAGTTTGTACAGAGAACTGTCATTTTAAGTGTTTATTTTTTAAAACTCAAACTTAACTAGATATACCACTGGTTCCATCATGTGGCATCACTTAATTAAAATTAAATTTAAATATTTAAATCATACAATTTCAATATGGGTTTCCTTTTTTTGTGAAATAGGAATGGTAAACATGCTGATAGCCTACTTGATAACATGTTTTAACCATTGGCTATGTAAATAAATAGCACTATAGCATCCGATTATCATATGACACCTGTGATACTTCATTCATGAATTGCCACTCAGAAAAACAAGATGCTACTTCTCTTATATTGTAAATAATCTCGTTTTTTCACCCTTTGACTGTACACAAAGCAAGCTGGTTGACAGCTGAAAAAGGTGTGACTAAGGTGACAGCTGTAAATATAATTGTCTATATCTCTATATGAATAAGAATCGGAAAATTCATATGAATAAGAATATTTGATTATATAACCCCTTCTATTGTTATTCCATGTTTAATTTGTATAATACTTATAAATAAATTTTACAAACAAACTTTTAAGATACTAACATGTTTTAAAGCACCTTCAAAACTAGCTTTAGCATCTTTGACATTCATATTTTTCCAGTAGCAGTCTCCAAGCTCATTCCACGCGGCCACCAAGCGTGGGTTCAATTTAACTGCCTTGCTGAGGCTTTGTGTAGCTCGAGGATCATATGTTGGGCTTAGGTTGTAACATCGGCCCTTCAGGTAAAGAAAATGTGCGCGAAGTTCAGTTGGTACTTGGGTGTCCACTGAAATATTAAAAAAATATTGGTACACTTAAAATTAATCTTTCCATCGATCATAATTAATTAATTAAAGTATTTAATACCAATGTATTTACTCCAAGACTTTCCCAGAACATCAGAGAGAAGACAGACAGTATTGTAGTAATTAGAAACAAATCTTTATTTACTACTAGCTAACCCACGCAACTTCATCTGCGTTTCATTTCCCCACCTTTTGTAATATTTTTCATGCATCCAACACAAAAAGAATTTTACAATTTACCAGTAGTTTCTGTGATTAGCATGTTAAAACAAACAAACTCTTCAGCTTTATAATATTAGATTGTTATAGATTCTGTTATAATAATTAATTGCTTTATATCCTAAATTATTTACTTTAGTTGATTGATAATTTCCCCTAAAATAGTTAATGTTTTACTATCTGTCAAGGACGATATAATCTAACTTTTAAAAAATATTGTAAGTGTACAAATACATACTTAAATAGAATAGAGTAGAAAATAATTGTTGGAATAATCTTATGTGTAAGCACTTTTGAAGTCATACTTATTTTTTTGTCAGATTGCTGTCTTCAGGAACCTGTAACCTGAAGGGGCCATAAGACGAAGTACTGTATTGCTTATTGATGCACATGTTGTGTAAACACAAAATTTTGCTCATTGTTTTAACCAGACATATTATCATAAATATTAGTTGCTTAAACTGAAACTGGAGTGGCACTAAATTGCTATATTTTCTTGGTTATATTATCATTATTAAAATTGGTTAGTTTTATAAGCAAAGATATTATACTATATTAATTCTAGTGTATATATAAAGTATTTAAGTAGGACTAGTTAAGTTAAATTGCAACCCTGGGTACAAAAACCAGCTGCCCAATATCCAAAACCAAGTCACAGGGCCACAAAAATATTAAGGAACCATTGCCAAATTTGTTTCAGAATCTGTGTGTAAATTATGTATAATACAATAATAGATCTTGCAAATTTTAAATAAAAATTCAATAAAATAAGTCTATATTCTAGGTGTAATTAAAAAATATATTCAATTTTTACCATCAATAGCTTCAAATTTTTCTAATAATGCATTTTTCTTCGCTTCAACAAACTCATTTTTCTTTGAAGCCATCTCGATAGGGTGGTTCTCAAAAAACAGGTCTCTGAATGAACAAGTTTCATAGAGTTCCTTCTACAAACAATTTTCAATCACATTATTAAACTTTATTCATATATTTTAATTACCTTAAAACTATTTCTAATAATTTGGTTGACGATAATTAAGTATAATTACAGAAGAAAAGAGTAACTATATAAAATTATAAGGATTACTCATTGACTAAAAGTAATGAAAAATTATAATTAATTAAAAAATTTTTATTTTTATTATAAAATCAAATAAAGAGAATGAGTCTGATACCTCAAGTTCATCTTTGAATTCAGTTATGTTTACCAAAAATTCGGTTTCAGTTTCACCTTCGGAATCTTGCGACATGGTTATTTAATTTTACTATATGTTAAATAAAGTAAAAATTAGAAACACGTAATTAAATAGATTTTCATTATTATATTTATTACGGAGTTTTAAACCATATAATTAATTAAAATGAAACTTAACAATTGAAATTTAATATATAATAAGAAATAAAATAATAATAATAAATATTTTTCTTTTGAAAATTCTCGAATTAGCAACAATGATATGAAGAGTCAATAATTCAATAATTAATTGTATACACACACACAATTTTATGAATTTTAGTTGACAATGGTTGACAATCACAGATCAATCAGAAAATCCGAGGAATACCACAGACAATTACATTGAAATAGGGATGTAACTTCCACTGATAAACAGATTATTAAATAACTGATTATTTTTGTTATCACAATAGTAAACAAAATCGCTGTTTTTTTAATAGTTGGCTTTTGATAATTTATTATTTTTTAGAACTTAAATTTAAAATTTGTTAATTGAATGAATAAAATATTTTTTTGTTAATTTTAAAATTGATTGAATCAACCGATATATCTCTTTTTTAAACCCGACTTTATCATAAAAATTTAACCCGTTTCTTTCCATTATTATGGCATTTCCTGATTATTACGAGATAATAGGCAACACTAGCCTCTTATCAGGGGGCGAGTGCACAATTCCATTATCATCCATAAAAAAAGCCTCTTATCAAAAAGATTTCCTGAAATTAATTTTCCAGGGCTTAAAATACTTAATAATTATCAAAAAGAAAAAAATCAGTGTGTCAGTCAGACACAGGCAGTCAGTTCCAGTCAGTTCAGTGTCAAATGTAAATAATCATTACTGTTTTGAATTATGTTCTATTTTTGTTTTTTTGCTTGATTTTATTTATTTCAATAAGATTTCCGTATTTATTATCTTAGAAAACATCACAAACTCCTTTGAATACTGGAAAAAATAACAAGTTCGTCGTCGTTAGCTAATCTTTGCAATAATATTTAATTGGTGTCGTTACTGTTTCCACTAATTATTTTGGTTAGATATTATTATTGAATAGATAGACATTCGCCTTATCGCTTATAATTTGTATCAAATATTTGATTATTGCCAAGCACAGAAATCTGTTTATTATTTGTGTAAAGTAATATTAGTTTGCAGTGTTACAATGGCATATTATGATGATTTAACTAAAGATAATGATAAACTAAAGTGTACTTTGTGTATGGATATTATACCTGGTAACAAAACTTACATTGAAGAACATCTAAATAGCGATAATCATAAAGATAGAATTCTCCAAAGACTACTGATAACAAATGGTATGGTTATTTATCACAATGATATGCACTGTTTACTTTGTAATGAAAAAAATCTGCAGTTAAGTGTTGGACCTCATATACTTAGTTCTTGCCATCAGAAGCATTTGGAACAAATTAAAGTATTAGTTGAAGCTGATGGTTCATTTATTGAATTGCCAAATGATTTAAATAGTAACAAAGTTCATTGTTTAATATGTGATGATTATTTTGCTTTCAAAATGTGTGACATTGAAGATCATATTAAAAGAAATACTCACAGACGAACTCGAGCAATTGCAGTTCAACCATTAAATGGTATATTCTCAGTCAATTGTTCTGATGGGGACCTATGGTGTAAGATATGCCCAACATATTTTGAAAACTACATAGAATGTATATTTGAACATGTGGACAATAATAAGAAACATAAAATGGAACTTGGCAAGCTTTTGAGATTGGTGGAAGGCCAAAATATAAACATAGAGAAATATTTAATTGATCCTAGTGAGGATAAAGCTATGTGTGAGAAATGTGATACTAAAGTTCCATGCAATTTAGATAATCTGGAAAGACATATCAAAGGTGAAAGACACAGAAAGTAGTACTGTTCTAATAATGCTAGTCTTTTTACAGCCTTGTACTAAACACTTTGAAAGGTTAAAGTTGTTCGTTATAGATTCATCTGTGAGTTTTGTTTGTTAAAATGGGAATTGCGAGAAATGACATAGATTTATTAAGAAATCCTGTTTTAAATTTTCATTTTTGTATCTTGTATCAATGAATGTACAACAAGGCATGTAATTCATAATTATTGATTATTGTACTGAATACATTGTATAGAATGTATCCTATTATATCAGCTTTCGGTGTCATATTTGCTATTTGTAACATTTTTAATTATTTGCAAAGAGAGTTCTGGCCTGAGTCACTAGTTAGACTGTAACTATGTTATTAGTGAAATATTTGTTTTGTCATAACCAGAAATATTGTAAAAAAATGTATGAATAAAATGTACATAAGTACATTTAAACTGAACTAGTGATAAGCTTGACAAAGTATATTTATTTACATTGTAATCAATTAAAATTAGGTAAATATATTATACCTATGTTTACAGTTCTTTAGTCTACAAATACTTTTTTGGTATGCATAGAGTGTAATGAAGTGTTATTGTATTAAATTATATTAAATATTTTTTTATGTCTATTCTTTATTATTTATCTTAATCAGCAAGAAATTAAAACTATCAAGTTATTTCAGGTCAAGGAACATAATACTCTAAAGAGTTTCAGCTACTAAATGAACAACAACATCTGTAGGAACAACTAATACATTTTTGTCAGTCTTGTTTTTGTTAAACCTATCAGTCATAACGTCAGTTAGACATCAATTAGTACGTCATTCAATGATACAGAATTGTCAATTGATCATCTTGCTGCTGTGGGTGGAATTATCAATTAAATAAATTTAAAAAAATATTTTACTGACACAATCACAAAATTCATAAAAGTTCTTGTCTAAATTTTAAGTTTCTTGTTATATCTGTTTATTAAAGTAAATAAAACACCAGAATAAGTGGAATTACAGTCAACCCTAAATTCTTAGAATATATTTCACGTAATACTGTAAAAATGAAAAAAGGATATGGAATAATTCCTAGTTCTAAAACACGGGTACGTTGCTTGTTTTGCGGAGTGCACATACCCAAAGCTAACAGATGCATCGATCAACACACAAACGGAGCAAAACATAAAGAAAATGTAATGCTGAAAATGGAAAATGGGCTTGACATACTGAACGAGAATCTATATTGTAAACCATGCAACCAAGTCGTAGATGAAGACGGTTCCGTCGCCGATCATATCGATACGGAGAGTCATTGTAACTGGCGCGCTGCAATGGAAGATCTAACTGAAGGTGAGTTTATTAAGCTAGAATCCTATTTATCGTCAGAGAGAGATGATGTACGTTGTGACGCATGCAGTGTTGACTTGAGTAGTAGTCTACATGTCATTGAAAAGCACGTCAACAGCGTAAAGCACAGAAATAGGGTTGTGGAACGATTGAAACCATTAAACGGAATTTTCTCTATTGAAAATGATGATGAGGTGTTTTGCAAAATATGCAATATTTACATAGAGAATACAATCGGTTCTGTTCTACAACATATTGATGATGATGAAGAACATGTGGTCTGGTTGGCAGAAATTGATGATCTCATTGACGGTCAAGATGTGAGTATAGACCGGTATCTAGCAAATGAATATGAAATAAATGCATTCTGTAAAAAATGCGAAATGGATATACTATGTGATGCTCAAAATATTGAGAGCCACGTACACAGTGAAGATCATCTCAATAGATTTGTGTAATATGGTTAATATTTACTTTTAGATACCACCATTACATTTCCCTAATATTCTGTATTCTATATTGTATAAGTATAGGGCTATGTACTTTTCCAAATAATTGTTTTAAGTAGGTATTTCTTTCAAATGGCTTTAATTTTTTATGTGATTCCTTAAATTTTGTTGAAGAATTCTTTTAGTTATATTTACAATTAATTTAATGTTCCACAATATCTGTACAACAACCATGATTCATGGACCATAATATCATGTTTTAGCAGAATACAATAATTCATCCAAATAACTTCTGAGATTATTTAATAATAATATCTACAGAAAAGTAACTGTTGGTTAGATTAGGTTGGTTGTTTTATATAGCAAAATATATATTCAATGTACAGGATGTAAACTCTATGGTGTCATTATATCTCTTTACCCATTAAGGCATTAAGTAATTTTTTTTTTCACTGCCTTTTCAGATTTGAATAAGATAAAAATATTGATTAATTTCTAGAGTGTCTATAGTACTGATGTATCACTTTCATTAGAAGTAGCCAGGCATGGAAATTATTGTATTGATCTTATTGTGATATATTGTAAAACTAATATATTTATAATATGCAAGTTATTGTTACATAATAGATTTATGTAAGGAACAATGATTGTTATTTATAAACATTATTCACTACATAGACAAATTAAATCATTTTTCCAACCCATATTGTTGGTATAGAATTTCAAGTGTAAGTAAATAATAATTAAAAATGTCATTATGAAATGGCTTTTGTTTATTTATTCAGTACAATAAATAACTTTGTTCATTATTTTACCAAATAATATTGCTATTATAGGAATATTATATGCAACTGTTACAATATTCTTACTTAAAAATATAATTGCAAAATGTTTATAATTATGATTAATGTCCTTCCAATTCAGTTGAAGTTTTGTAAATGATTTTGCAACTATATTTTGAATTTTAATTTGTTAGAATGTTATTATTTTTAACAAGTTATCCAGGTTAATTATTGAAATAAATATGCACTACATAATTGAAATAAATATACTTTGTTTTATTTTATTACTAAGGATAGTGTAATAGCCACAGTTTGTCGTCAATTTGATTATGTAGTGGCGGTAGACAAACGAAGTAGTCGACAATGACAACATATGATACTAATATATGTGTCGTCGGCGATATAGCATCCAGATTTTGCCACAATCGCTGCTAGTAAACTTCTCAGTGGCATGTGTTAAAAGCGTACTTACTGATTTGTACAATCATTAGATTCAATAGAGATATAGATATCTTCCATTTAACACTGGTTCAATTCCGGAGACAATTAAATTTCCACAGTAAACAGTCTAATTAAAGTTAAAAAAAGTGTTAAATTATACTTAATATTGTGTCTGTATTTTTTTATATAAAAATATATTTCTGTTTACATAATGATTTATAGTATTTCGTAGTTATATATTAAGTATAGCAGTATTTTCTATTTAATTTACTTTCTTTTTATTATATAGCCTTATCCAGCGTATATTGAATGCGTCTATATAATTTAGCCTTTAGGCACACATAGTGTGGATTACAATCCAGTTTTGTACCAAACAACACGCTCCTAATTACATTCTTGTATTGATTGTAATCTGTTTCGTGTGCTAATAAATAAATACATTTGTATTAAAGTTCATGTAATCACTAAATATTCGAAATATGATATATTTATTTATGTAATTATATAAATAAAGGCAATCGTTATCAAGTTTACTACAATACATTCATGGGATAGTTTCTTCACTAATCATCAAATGGATATTCCTCATTTTCATCTTCTTCCATAACGGCAGTTAGGGTAGTTCCTTGCGTGCTGGGAACTACTGAAGTGTGACTACATTTTGATGGACCGGCTGGAGGTCCATCATAAGAGGTTTCCGAGTTGCCATTCACGTCTCCTAGCCGGGACCGTATCCTGTCTTCATCCAACCGTACCACTTGCGCTATGTCTTCAGCGCAACAATCTATCTGAGTTATGGAATCCATCAGATGTTTCTGCAAAGAACTGATAGAAAATGATTTTATGGGCGCAGGCGTGTATTATAATTTCAAGAAGTAGTCGGTCCTTGTATTTATGTATTAATTTCGGAAAATCTTTGGAATGTTTAAAATATCACTACATAGTATAAAAAGGCATATTCTTAAATCTTTAAAACTATGCAACGGATTTTGAAGCGGTTTTTTTTAATAGATAAGAGTGATTCAAGAGGAAGGTTTATATATATAACACGCTGTAACCGCGACTTCGTCCGCGTGGCATTTAAATTTATTCTTCAAAAATAAAAGTAGCCTAAGTTACTTTACATCATTACTTCTTATTACATCAGCTACCTGCCAATAAAACTCCCGTCAAAAACGGTACAGCCATATCAGAGATTAGCCGGAACAAACAAGACAGTCAAAAATTGTAAATAATGTTATTTTGGAGTATGTACCGTATTTATATTTACATGCATATACTAAAAAATATTACAAACGGACACTCAAATTTTATTTATATGTATAGATAAATGTACACCCGTGCGAAGACGAGGTGGGTAGCTAGAATATACTAACCACCCACCTCGGCTTCGCACTGTAAAATAAAAAATCGTTTATTCAAGTACTGAGGTCATTTTAGTACCTAGTTTATGATTGTGAAGTGTTGTGTTAATATTTTTCCCTACCGTTCCCAGTACCCAGGCCTGTATATATGTATGTATGAATACATATAGACCTAAGTACGTGTTTCGAAAACAATCGGTTTTAAATTTGAACCTGATTCTGTCAATGTTACTCCTCAAATGTTTCGTAAAATGCTTGAGTCTTGAAAGCTCGTCTCTTAGCTTCGTGTCGACGTCATCTCTGGTCAATTCTCCGGCAGGTCTTAACGTACGATCTGTTATCCTAGCTGCCACCACCTGTTCTTGTTCTAAGGTCTCGATTAAGTTTTGTTCTGCCGTTACCATCTCTTCATCTAACGATTTGATATCCTTTATGGCCTGTAACATACGGTTGCTTATATAATGTAGTACTTTTCCATCTAGATTATTATTAATAGTTTTACATTAATAGGTTATTTGACTTGAGTGGGATCTCTACAATTATTTAATAAAAGCCAAGAATAATTGTATAGGTATACCAATTTCCGAAAAAGGTTTATAAGCAAGTCAAAAATGACACATAAAAGAGATATCAATGTAAACAAATTTAAAACGAACGGTGGACAAACTGCCAGCAACAAGTTACCTCTCCTCTTTGCCACTCCAATTCCTGCAGTTTGCTAGTGTTAGTATGCAAACGCCGCCTGAGAGCTGCGTCTACTCTGGCCGCAAACGCTTGTGCTTCTATTGAAAGATGCACTCTTGCTCCCCTCACCTGTACGTTAATTGATAAAAAATGACAGTTTAGTTTTCCCACCGTACTGATGTAAACTCATTCATTAAAAGTCATTTATTTGAGTAGCTCTGTCTTACCTACTTTAGTATCCAAGAAACCTGCTTTGTAAGCTGCTACGGTTGAACAGTAGCATATGGACAGATGGGATAGAAATTAAATAGTATGAACTCCTGGCTTCTTAGTCCTCTAGTAAGTATAGTAAAGTTATAACGGATTATCCACGTTACGATACATGTAATGCAGACAATGTAGTTGAGTAGATAGCTAGTGTGTTATTCCAGTTACATAAAAAAATATTTAAAAAGCATTAGGATGTCATATATAGGTATTTCGGACCAGAATAAAAAAAATACTTACGTTTCAAGAGTCTATAGAAATTAGCTTATTGAAAGGACGTTGGAGGTCTTCAGAGAGGTCTGACAAGACCTTATCTGTTACCTGTCTATATTACAAGACTAGATATATCGACACAAATACATACCTGTTGTCTTGTAATAACGGCGTTCGTAAGTGCTCGAAGACCAGCTCTTTTTAAGGAGGTACATCGATTCTCCCATCGACTCAGTGGTGAAAATCTGGGAATATAATTGTTATACCATGTTATGTACTTTAGAAATCCGCTAGGCTAGCACGAAATCGCCTAAGGCTTTTTTGTATCCAGTTTTTATGTTTAGACATTTGTTAGGTAATCACATTTAAAGAGCTGCATAAGGTTGTAGGTATTCTATTTCGTACACAGATCATGTCTTACATTGCATATAGGATGCTTTTACCTGCATTCATTCGAACAACGACGTAAAGTAGGTAGGTAGGCACATTTAGTACCTAAAGCAGTACGGCGACCCCCAACAGGAATAGTTGAAAAAAGAAATAGCTATATAACACACATATTTTCTTTTCTTACCTTCGTTTACTTTTCTTTCGACTATTAATTTTACTGACATCATTCAAGTCAATATTAGCGCACGATTCTTCAACAGAAAGTGCTTCTTGTTTATTCAGCATATCAACTTCTATACGTTTCTTCGTTTTCTCAAGATTCATGGTTTGCTTCTCAAGTTCTGGAATCATTTTTTCGAATTTTTTTTTCTCGTCCCTTAAAAAGTTGAATTCCTGAAAGTAATGGAATTATAGGGTTTCTGGTAAAAATCAAAGTCAAAGTAATAAATTCTTTATTAGTATTTTAAGTATGGATCAACGAATATATGTAGGTACATACCAACATATAAAACAGCGAGTTAGTCTTATTTTAGCAGTACTAACTAGATTTTTTTAAAGGACGATTATGGAATGGTGCAATGGACAAAATGGGCACCAGTGGAGGATGATAAGATGAACATGAGGTCAGGTCAGCAAGCCTATTAAACAAACTTATTACGATGGTTTCCAGAGGGAACCGCGTGGAGGTCACCCTGACTTGGTACATTGCTAGCAATTGAGTAATTATTTCACATTACTAACAATCCCTTTCCTCCCAGTAGTAAGTAGATCTAACAACCCGCAGCAGATGTCACTTATTCAAAAGGGTCGTTAGTGTACTTGTCTTCTCAATAACATAAATAAAACAATCAGGCTTGAAAATATTATCTGAACGTAGGTTAATACAGATGCTATCATAATACATACCTATAATAAATTTTTGATGCGTAAACTTATCTATAAGCGGCTAAAATATCCTACACGAATAAATGAATTGTTAAATTTAAATTTGATGCGTTTTTTATTTATAACACTGCGACTATCCAAAATTACACCGAATCTATCTAAGCAATTACTTTCTAAATCAACATTGACGTAGAAAAACGACACTCTTACGTTTTAAGATCGGTATTTACCTCCGTAATGGCTTCTTCGACCGCATCGCTCAAGGGTTTTAGAGCACCTGGTCTACTAGCTTCCCTCGAATGTTCATTTATTTCTTTCTGTACTCTTTCTACGACAACTCTTAGGGCATTGTGCTCATAACGTAGTGCTCCTATCGCCTCGTCTAAACGTTTGGACAAATCTTCGAGAACCCAACGCCAGGAAACTATGTCTGATATCCTAAATTTGGTTTACTGTGTCAATTTAATAAGTAATCTGTCGACTATCACATATAATCCCTATATGAAAATATCAAAACGTTTTAAATCACAACCTAATGATTTCTAACGCATAGTCGGGCTGGCAAATTTCTCGAGCAGTGAATAGGTACAGAATAGATAATATACCTAGTAGATACTAATTAATATATAAGCGTTTTATACTTGTGTAAATAAATTATTCTTATTATACAAATAAATTACGTTTTCTCTATTTTTTACAATCTTTTTTATTGTAGCTCGGCTCCAATTGCGTGATCACCTATACCATACCTCGATAGATGGGCAATGTAACATAAATAAAAGAATTTTCACAATGGGTTCAGTAAAAGTGGGGACAAAAGAACATACATTCAAATTGCAATGCAGCTACCTTTCCTGTAAACATTTCTTGAATTGATATTCATTACTTTCCCGCGAAAAATTGTTCAGCAGCACCAACTCTTGAGAATCATTGACCTGCTCTATCACTTTAGAGTTCAGTCTAGTATTCAAACTTATAAGATCCTGTACTCCATTTGGGCAGCCCAGGTAACCGTCATCCGAAAACATTATTTATCAAAATGAATATTACAACTTACTATAAAATTATTATGAAAGCTTTAGTTAAATGTGTAAACATTGGCAAATTTGACAGCGACATTTTCATTTCAATCAAGTTTCTATCCGTCTAATTTGAAAGAAAACCTTATTGTAGGTTTATAGAGCTGTTTAGTAAAACGTTATATATAAAATTATTCAACATAATTCAGAGACAGTGTGTCTATGAAAACAAACCCTCTACTGACATAATAACGATTGTGTGGAAATCTTGATGTTGTTCTTAAGACAGCTGTTAAAACCATTTTTGTTGTTCCCAGTTGTATTCTGTTTTTGAATATTTGTAATTAGTAAAATATACTATCTTTTAAATTTTACAACGTATAATAATGTAGTTTTCAGTAATTGATAAAGTGATTCAAGAGTGAGGTTTATATGTGTAACACGTATGTATCGTGTTATAGTGTAGAACACGCTGAGAAGTTCTAAGATTTGTAATTAATTAGTGTGAAGCCGGGTCTGGTCGATAGTTGATAATAAATATTAATTTGCATTCATTCATTACAGATAATAATTAATATATACTTAAATCTTAAAAGATACTTAACCAGCGCAATTAGACGATTGAACGTTGTCTTTAAATAGTTTTCAATTAAACTGCTGTAGTTACTTCGATATGTATTCTTAGTAACGGTTAGCAGTGAAGGTACACTCACTTCTAACCGTTACTAAGAATAAGCAATACGCAATCACAAAATCTAAGTGTTTTTTTTTCAATTCACAGAGCGTTATCTAGTCCTAGGTAAGTAGAGCTTATGGGTATTAGACAACTGATATAAACGCTTAGTTATTTTCTTTGTAAATACATACATAATATAGAGACCAGACCGATACAAATAATCATACGCATTAATACAAATGTTTGTACTGTGCGAGGAATCGAACCCGCTATCATTGTAAGTAAAGCGGTGTGCTAAACCGCTAAACCACAGAGGCGAACAATATTATAATACTACTAGTTTAAAATTTAATAAAAAAGTGCCTAACTTAAAAGTTAACTTAATATATTGTTGAAGAAAAGAAATGAAACATGTTAGGAAGCAACTAATATACAGGAGAAAACATGTAAAAATGGCAAAATACATTAATTATTCTAAAATACAAATAGATATATTTTTTATTTATGACACTATCAACATTCTACACTATAAGTACCTACTTCCATTATGTAGACATGTAAATAAATTACAGACTCTAGATACAAATATAATATTCTATTTTTATATTTATCGTAGAATTTATATTTTTCATATAATAATATGTAATTCAAGTAAATAACTAGTACTTAATCATATCTCTTCAGGATCATGTAAAACGGTCGTAACAGTACGAAGTATATAAGTTCTGCTACACTGATGATGCTGAATCCAAGAAATAAGCTCAGAAGACCTCCAATTGCACCTGAGGAGACAGGAACTAACTTGTAAATAAGTTCAAACAAAATAAAAAAAAACTTTTTAGACTTTTTAGACAAGTATTTAATCATTTTCATAATCTTATAGAGTAATAAGTACTCTATGATTATTGAAATTAAGGGAAAGAAAAATAAATGTTTATAAATGTTTAAAAATAAATATATCAATAAGGGAAAGATAAATAAATGTTTTTTTAACCCATTAACTATTAAACCGTTTTTTTAATGTACATATGTGTATTAAATATTTGATCTCGATTTGTATTAAGACCGTTTGCAAAAGTCGTAGGTGGTAGACATAATAATATCGTAGATATATGTAGATCATTATACATATATATATAGATATATATATTTTTTTCTTACCAATAAAATAGTAGTCATCGTACTGTGTGTGACGATGTTGTCCAAGGAACATGTCCTCATAGAAGTGCACATTGATCTGAGTCACCTCATGCCTGTGATAAAAATTATATATTTACTAACTACCTAGCTGTTCCCGCGACTTCATCCGCGTGGAATTTAACTTAATATTTCAATTTTTCTTTAGCTAAAATACAATTATCCTAATTTACCCCTTATTACATCAGCTACCTGCCAAGAAAAGTCCTGTCAAAATCGGTCCAACCATTTAAGAGATTATTATTTAGAAATTAATAGAAAGAAAGAAAGAAAGAATACTACCACAGATAACATACTATTCCATAATAATAGTACAAATTCGAAAGTATCTATTTGTGTATTTGTAACCGTTTTAAGACTAAAAGACTGACAGGAACTTAGTTAAATTTTGACATGAAGGTAGGTAACACTAAGACAGACATATAGGCTATACTTCAATTAAAAATCGCTGATGTGTCACAGTATAGTGCTAGTACATATTATAAATCGAAAATTTCCGAGAATTACGTCTCTCTAATTAGGTCGAACTCGCCTTTCTAATTGTATTATGCATGAGCAATTTTCAAGTAGGTAAATACAAACTCTTCTTGAACGACTTAACGTCGGTACATTTGTTCCTGAAATATTTGATTCAGACGTTACTAGATGTCGAACTTCGATAGCAATTAAGCAGTGACATCTTTAAAACAATTGAGAAGTCGTATATATAGAACATATGTATGTATGGAAGATACGTTACGTATTTTAATCGTACACTTTCATGCATAGAAACTATACCTACATCGCATTTTTTAATTCCACATAAACAATATTAATTATATTGACTTCAAGAGAAAAACTATTCTGATTAAAAAAATATTACAAAAATCGATTCAAAAGGGCCGAAAATAACATAACGTACACGTAAGATTGTAAATATTTTCAGCAAGTTTATTTTCGAGTTAGGTTATATGCTTCATATACTCTGAGTAACAAAACATTAGGTACATTACATTACCATTACGAGGGTAATGTTTTATACAATAACAACAAATTCATTCCTCTTTTGCTTTCTCTACATCAACCTATTCATACAAATTCGGCAACTGTGTATCTTTTATTAGGTCCTTTTCAACACAGTATAAATAAATAATAAGTGAATTGTCAACAAAAAAAGAAATAGGGACTTATATTTCATGAAATTAGATTACCTTTTCGGTTTTCCCCATGATGGAGATGGATCACCAGGTTCCTTGACTAGGTCGGAGTAGAACACCTGACAGTCGTACATGACCTCATTACAGGATGGGTGACATGATGTAACGCTACCCCTGGCCACTTTGCCTTCTTCACAGTCATCATAGTATGCAAATATTTGCTGTTCTCTCACTAAAAGAAATACAATATTGTTTTTTTAACATACGGGGACAAATAAGCTTGCGGCTCACCTGGTAGTACCTAAGTGATTTCCGTCGCCCACAACATCAGGGGAATTGAAAGTGCGTTGCAGGCCTTTTAAGAAGGAATAAACCCTGTTCTTAAAAGTCATTCTTACCTACCTAATGCATAAAGGAATGGTGTACACGCTGGTACTCTGTTTGATGGCAAGTGGAAACTGTTGACCGTATATATGAACAGCACTAAGGACATCCCGTCATCATGGGTCGCTAGTAGTACCCCATTTATGCGTTGCCATTCCAGAGCACTAAGGTCTCCGTATCCTCTAATTTCAGTGCCTTTTCATACCTTTCGTTACAAAGTTAGTAGCGGAACTGCAAGAATAGGTTAAACAGAGTATAATTACGCAAATGACTTTGTACAAAGTGGGTCTCCATAAAATATCACAAAAATATCTGTAGAATCTATTTATTTGAGACAAAGTTTAAAATATTTTGTACAAGTACATATCTACGTGTATCGTAAATTCCCGTTGTCGATTGTAATCCATTATTAATGACTTACCTTTAACTTTATATACGCAGTCGTAATCTAATGGCGTCGAACAAATGCGCTCTTGAAAGTTTTTTCCTTAAAAAAGCATAATTGACTATTAAATGGATAGATTTAAAATGTTTTAAAAAATATGACAGTAATAAATATGATTCTTTTAATGGTGTGCACGACGCACCTTTATACCTATTGTTTATGGTATTTATTGTCTATTATTTTATATAGAAAAATAATGTAATTCTTTATTTATCTGCTATAGTTTTGATACATTTTAATATACTATTTCTTCCTAAACTACTGTATTTCCATAATCATATTTACCAACATTGTAATAATACAGTACCTTCGCTTACAAATGAACAAATAATACGGTATTTGGCTGTGCGAGAATAATTCACAATGGACTGTTGTGGAATGTTCCAGAAATATAAATTAATAAATTGCTTTTTTAGTGAATTAAATGTTGCTAAAGTAAATAAACATACATATCTAATAAGAGTTATAGACATAAAATCTTACTTGGCCAGTAATAAAGCGAGCAGTTACATCGTATCTTAGTTTCTCGTATATATGTATCGATTTTACAATTATTTGCCGTATAGAAGTGATAGTAATCGAGTTTCCTCTCGTTTTGAAAGAAGCATTGTCGCAGTTCTGGATCTAAGGCCCTCAGGGCTGTGTCCGTTTTGTATGTAATTGGAGACACTTCGATTGTGGTCATCTTATTCATAGGGAGGCGAAGAACTGTAGTCGTGTATGCGTGGTCTGTTGGTGACCTGATTAATACCTGCAATTTTTCTTATTAAAATTTTTTTATAAACAAGTTAATGCTCTATCTTATGGAAATGGATGACATGAACCCTGATAACGTGAACTCTACCACGTTATTACGTAAAATTCTTCATTAATACCTAAATACTATGGTGTCTATGCTCCGTACTCAATAATTTCATTGTTATATTTCAACCTGATGTATTTGTGCTGATTCAGAAGTCTAATATCAATCGCAGTGACAAATAGAACATATCCAATTGCAATTGAAACAGAAAAAATAAATCATGAGAGGTAAGCTCTATACAAAGTCGTTACAGGGTAAAATATGACCAATAGCTGTTTGTTTTATAGTCTTTGGCATACAAAAGAAAAATAAGATTAAAAAAAGTACACATACAGTAAAACCTAAACTATTTCCATCACAGGCATATTGGTGTTCGCTATTATTAAAAAACAGTTCCACTCCCAGACCGTTCGCTTCTCCTGCTACCATCACCCTGGATGGTTGCATGTTTGGATCTGGAGGAACTACCAGAGGATACCCTCCATCAAGATTCCACTCTATCTTTTTTGCTGCTGCGTGATTATTGAAAGTCTTGTGCCATTCCAAGGTATCATTTGTCCTGAATAAAAACATAAGCTTTTAATAAAAAGTCTGTAGTTATACTAAATATCTAACTTACTTCTCGTTGATAGAAACGCTGATATAGAACTGCAGTTAATCAAAGAGACCTGGGTAGACCCTCTTCCACGTTAAATTTGAATATAGAGTATATTTTATTTAAAAAAGTTAATTATTATAAATAAAACTTCCTACAAACTACTGTTATTGTGTTTTGTCACTTAATTTGAAATTACAAGTTAGTAAGAAAAGAACAACGTTTGCCGTTTTTATGAATTAGGGCAATAGTCTTTAAATAAATTAATATTTATATAATTATTTTAATTGTATCTTACATCCCATTCAAAGCTAAACTGTTGAAGGCGTAGCAGAGGCCATAATCTGTAAAAATTGGTTGAAACAACTGCTCGCAACATTCGCTTCCCACCCAATTAATGTAATGTTTGACAGGCCAGTTGCATCTCTTTATGACGTCATGGCATTTCAAGGCACCCTGAAGATATAGAAATAGAAAATAAACTTAATGTAAGCACTTTTGCTATTTGGCAGTTTATTATTCACACAGAATTCTTATCGAACATGCGTGTTGATCTTTTAAATAAATGTCCTAACAACATTTATTTAAAAGATCAACACGCATGTTCGATAAGAATTCTGTGTGAATAATAAACTGCCAAATAGCAAAAAAAAGAGTTATGGAAAACTTTACTTAAACTTTCAGAATAAAGCGATAGCTATTGATTTGACAAAATATAAAATTAACAAAATAAACAACATAATCCCATCAAGTATAGTGGGTATATTAAATGTACATTTTTTTCCTTCATTAAATTAATCTATGCAAACAATTGGCAAAAAAAATTTTACACAAATTCATATAAAATATATTCAAGCCTGAGTGTAATGTCCGAAATCTATTTTATTTTCCCGCGCAAAGTAACAGGTTACAGATTATTAAATTCACACGTAGTGTATGACAAGCGCGACATAGCTGTATGTCCTGTTAATTCTAGTATTTACATAATGTCATGTTAATTTACACAAACCTTATCAATGAAGTTTTGCAGTAATACATTTTCAGTAGGATTGAGCTGATACTGAGAAATATTTTTGCTGCTGGACATCCGTGGACAAAGAAATGAAGCGAACAGCTGATCTAAACTATAATATATCAAAGTACCTTTCAAATAAATAAGTATTATATATCTGTAGTATAAAATACCTAATAAAAGTAGTTGTTGTAGGTTTATTAAGTTTTTTTTACTATTTGATATTGACTTGAACATTTATAATCATGTTGCCAAGAATGTGCAGCAGTAGATAATATGTTTTTTTATAGTTATCAAAGTTAAACCTGACATCAATATTTAATGAGTAATAATTGCCAAATGCAAAACCTACTTACAACTTAACTGTGTAGAAAACGAAATAGTTTAAACAGAAAATAAGTATATAAATCAATAGTGACATCAAAAAGAATTCGCAGGGAAGTAGAATAAGTTATGAATTGGTCAAGATATCGCATAATGAAGGGAAAAAAAACTAACGCGAACTGATATAATAAAAAACCAGTCGAATTTAGTGCTTAATTTTAAAAAAGACGCTCAATTTTTAAATCAATGAAACATACCCTTCTAGCTTAGACACATTGACAAAAGATAATTTGATTTTTGTAATTTGGATTACAAAATCACAGTTGGGAAATAAACCGCCAAATTATATATAAATTATAGGTGTTTATAATTTTATTTTATTTTCTAGAACATTCACGAAGGGCGTGGAGGTCCACTTCAGGAAAAGCTGAATGATGTAGCTCGCGGCTTCGCCCGCGTGAATATGGCGGTTATCGCGCGCATACAGTATTGGGACGTTATATATACTGATAGCTATGATCAGAATCCAAACGGCACGCTCCTTTCTGCTGAAAGTCGGTTCAAAGATGTATCTAGAAAAGAATAGAATATTCAAACAAAAATAAAATTAATCACTTTAAAAAAATCTACCGCTCATTTCGTGAGCTCACAATCACAAGAAGAACAAGAAGTAAGAAACTTGCGTGTTGCTCTTTTAAATATAATACTTGTATATTTACATTTTTAAGTTGAAATGTGTGAACCAAACTACCAATTAGAACTTATTCATTGTCAAGTTATGTAAAAAAATATTTGTGTAAATTATTATTATATTTTATTATACTACAAGCTGATGGCCCATATAATGGTAAATGGTAACCGTTGCCTACGTACATGAATAACACTGTGAATAACATGTAATCATGTGTCGTCCATGTAACCACTAACGTGACATTCCGTTAATTTTACACCTAATATGCATATAAGGATGGGACTTTTAAATCAAAACAAGCCTTGAAAACACAACTATTATATATAAATAAAATAATTATTTGCTAAGTATAATATTTAGAACAAGTGAATATGGCAATAATGTATCCGCTTATAATAAATTATATTGTATCTATTAATAAATAAACTGAATTAATTCAGAATTAATTAGTAAATTTATGTTATAGTAATTTCATCTTCCTGTCCCAATTATTTGTTACTCATATTACTTAAGGTTTTGGCTTTTATTCCAATTTTTCATCCTGACATTACTCTAGGAATAATATAATAAAAAAATAATTATTACTTTGATAATTAAGATAAATCACGTTATTTCAATAAGTAGTTTATGCAGTTGTACATTCACATTATTAATTAAAATATTACAAGGATCAAAATGGTTCATACTAAATCCACACCGATTGAGCTACACGGTTATTTGCTGTGTGCGTGTATTACTGTATGTGTGCTTAAATCCATGCGATTAATCCTAAAGTTGAGCGGCATCATTTTGTAATAGGCCTCTTATCAATATTTAATGAGTTCCCAACCTATACTTTTTTCTGTAGAAAACGAAATATTTTAAACAGAAAATAGTATATAAATCAATAGTGATATCAAAAAGAATTCGCAGGAAAGTAGGATAAGTTATGAATAGGTCAAGATATCGCGTAAGGTAAGGTAAAAAAACTAACGCAAACTGATATAATAAAAAACCAGTGATTCGCTCAATTTTTAAATTGAAAAATTTAAATTGACAAAAGATAATTTGACGTGTAAATGTGGACACAAAATCACAGTTGGGAAAGGCACCGCCCAAATAGGTGTTTGTAAGGAGTCTAGAACATTCACGAAGGGCGTGGAGGTCCACTTCAGGAAAAGCTGAATGATGTTGGCGGCGCATATTGCTATACTGATAGCTATGATCAGAATCCAAACGGCACGCTCCTTTCTGCTGAAAGTCGGTTCTCTAGAAAAGAATATTTCAAACAAAATTAAAATTAATCACTTTAAAAAAACTTGTAATTTCGTAAGCTGTTACATCACAAGAAGAACAAAAATAAAATCGCTCTTTTAAATATAAAATTTTTGGGGTTCAAAGTCTGTCTCGATATATTTATAGTTTAAATATATTAACATGTATTCAATGATTATTAGTAATATTAACTGAGAAAATTTTTTTTTTTAATGTAAGTAATTGTTTGTTTTTAAGTTGTATTTTTTCAATATAAAAATAAAATTTCATGTCGAAAAAACATCATAAAAATTTATATATTTATTAGAAAACCAATTGGATATCTCTAATACATTAATCAACACATATCTAGAGAAAGCCAATAAAAATAGTGACTTAGCAAAAGAAAATAAAATATAATTTGGCAAACAGAATAAGGATTAATTTAAAAAAAAATAAAAAAGAAGCATAGAAAAGTATTATCAAAAAATCAAATATTATAAATTTCACAATATATTTAGAACAATTTTAAAAACAACTTTAAGAATTACAAATATTATAACATTGAATTGACACTTGTGTGTTTTGTATAATAATGATGTATATAATTAACATGTATTCAATGATAATATAGGTTGTGATTAAGAATATGATAGAGTTTCGTTTTATATGTGTTTTTAGAATAATATCTTATCAATGTAATTGTATTTGTTATACGTTGACATTATACGTGAAAATATAGAATGTTTGTGTTGTGGGTAAATATAATAATGGTGTTCCACGTACACGACATAAACATTTCATCATATTTATCTTTTCAATTTTATCAGTTGAATCGACGAATCAATATTATAACCTTACCTGACTCCATGGAGAGAGCCCTCATAGAAAAACTGCTTCGCACCATTCAATACTTCCTTAACCCATATATACCAAAGAGACCGACATTTTACAACATTTACATCTTCTAGATGATCGATATTCTTAAATATCTTCTTTCTATTTCCTCTTATTGCTTCATGGCTTATATATTTGAAATCTTTCAAATAGTAATCACCGAAATATAAATTGGGAACGTTTTCTATATCAATGGTGTGAGATGGATTCATATTGATTAACACTGTGATTTTCGTTCTAAAGGATTAAAATGTTAGCAATATTCGAATAAACCAATTTGAATTAACAACCAACCATTGATGGTGACAAACAGCAAATACAACGATGTGTGCATACAGCACTTCGCTTAATTGAAGCAATTCCGTTAAATGTAGTGAATTGATGTTCTCCGTACATGAAGCACAGCTCCGTACAGCAAACACAGTTCTTTATGTATATCTTTAGTCAGGGAAATACCAACAATGTTATTTTATCATTATGATTGCCAATGTTAGGTATAGCTATGAAAATTTGTGTCCAACCAACCAAAATGTCTGCACCAATTTTCAGCCACAAATTCGTTATAGCTACAGAAACAGATTGCACGGTGATATTACTACAATAAATCGTTGTAATGTCAATCGACCATTAGTGAAAAACACAGAAGATTTATAAGTAGCTGCAGTTAGACTTAATATTTGAAGTACCTAAATCTTTTATTTCTTTTACTGGGAGCTCATAAACAAGTATTATCATGAAAATGTAAATATCCCATTTAGATGATGTAGATCTTAACGATTTAGATTATTTATCCTAAAAAATGCATTTATTAGAATTGATTTTTACAAGATTTTCTATAAATGCATGTTTGAAAGCATCGCCGCGTGGTAGAAGTTAGTCAGGACAAGATAGATAGATTAGTGATCCAATTGTAGTCGATGAATGCATTAGCAATATTGGAACTAAGTCAATATTTATTTTATCTATTGAGTTTAATACATTCCATTTTATTTAATATAACTCTTATTACATTCATATGTGTGAATTAACACAACACCAAATATCGTAAAATATATGTTTAACTCACACACGCACGTCTCGGTTTTCAAACCAGGCAGATTTTTTTATTCTATACAACACAAATATTAAAAGTAGGAAATGTATCTTCTTTTAGTTTCACTTAACGATTAATAATATTAAAATTAAACTACTTATTTGTAGCCCTAGTAATAATATAATAGCAATAAAATAGGCACATGAAATATTTTATAACCTTTTATACCTGCTCTATAAGTTCGAGATCGCGATTTAAAATTTTTAGAAATTGTTATTTGAATGGTACCTTATATCGAACCAGTAGGGTCAAATGAAAAAAAATTTAAGTGCTTCATACTTATATAGATAAGACACTACCTACTTCATGCTAAAATGGTGTATTACAATAGCATAGGTAGTACAATAGCATTCAAACAAAAAAAAGAATGATTACAAAAACTTTTTGAATCCCACTCATTTCCATATTTACTAGAATATTGTGTATAGCCCTTGAAACTTGTGTAAACAATAAAAAATAGACGCCTTCAGCGAGATATTGATACATTGGTAAAGTTCTTGTAAATTTCAATCACAATCTGAATAGTTTTTTGTCGATCTGTAGGCTTTAAGTTTAATCTTTTCTACAACAATATTTTTACACATAATGTGAAATCATTAGTAAACTTATGTAAGATATAACATTTTTTTAATATTTGATAGGTACAGCTTTTAATGAAATCTACATAACATGGGAAATAAAATGTCTCGTTTGAAGGTTAACTAAATTATTTATTTAGTTAACCTTCAAACGATTATTTTTAATTAAAATAGACTTAAATACTAACTGCTATAAATACTACCTACATTACGTTACATAAATTAAATACATATATTTAACAAAAATGTTCTATAACATTTTTATTCTGAAACAATATATAGAATAGAAATAATATTTATTACAATATTCTTAATTAGGGCATCGTCTAAATGTTATTTTTTGTGAGTCCACCACCCACTATCAAAAGCCGCCAATGCTATGTTTTATACCTATGTACATATCTTGCAAGTATTTGTATAAATTTGTATATTAACACAGATAAGATAATATTACATAATATTAATGAATGAGATATATATACTAATAAGGAGTTAGCATATGATACCTAAAGTGTCTACACACTGCCCTAAAATCGGTTGTGATTTTTAAGTAATATTGAGAAACGCCTTAGATCAAAGTGTAGGCAACACATGAGGTGATCTAAGGCGACGTTCAAAAGCGAAATACATGTCGCAATATGTAGATCAAGCTTCTAGTAATGATGGTCAGAAAAATAAATAATCTATTAATTAATGATGACTTCCCTACGTACAAGGTAATTTTTAAACACTTTCCACTACTGCTTTATTGTCTTCATTGAGGTTAGGTTCGTGTGTAAATGCTTTTATTGATAAGTCCTGTTTACTGTTGCAAATCGCAGAGTCCTGAAGCCATATATGAATACCAGGATCGAATATCATTGAAAGATCGCCACCAGACATCTTGATATTATGATATGGAAACTTTTATTATTCATATTTATATCATAGATTGCTGTTAGCTAAGGTCGCCTTGTTGTAATTATACGTTCTCTAATATATTGTTTATGTCTTTTCTTTGATATGGTGACTGACGTAGTGATCTATCAACGCACAGCCCAAAACACTGGACGGATCGGGCTGAAATTTGGCATTCAGGTAGATATTATGACGTAGGCATCCGCTAAAAAAGGATTTTGATTAACTTTTCCACCAAAGGGATAAAATAGGGGATGAAAGTTTATATGAAACTTTGTCAATTTTAAACCGATCGGGCTGAGACTTTGCATGCATAAAACTACTATGACGTAGGCGTCTCCTAAGAAAGGATTTTGATAAATTCCATCCCTAAGGGAATAAATTACCGCGAGCGAAGCCGCGGCCAAAAGCTAGCTACAAATATATCTTCTATCTATAAGCATTTATTTTTCATATTTGTTAATTTGTATCCACTTAAAATTATAAACATGTGCTGTTTTATAGCTGATGTTCTATCTATTTATTTTCTCGGTCATTATTCTGCACTAAATCAGCTGTATTCTGAATATAATTTAATTTAAAACCACCACGTTGGATACCATTAGCATAAAAAATTCTTGGTAAATTTGTTACGATGAGCCAGCTAACCTGACCTCATGCTCATCTTATCATCCTTCACTGATGCCCCGCCAGCGTATACTATTAGTGTAGGTGGATGCATTATACCATTATCGTGCATTAAAATTTAAAAAGACTTACGCATTGCTGTTCCTGAATAAGTATCCCATATTACGGATTTATTACCCTACTGAAATTTACTGACATATCTTGCCTATCCACGATATGAACTTAAACACATCGGTTAATAAACAATCCGCGGTAAAAATAAGTGAGTATTCGACGGTACCTAAGCAGACACTTTCTACGAAATTTACCTCAGTTTATTAGTGCACTATAAAATTGACATTGTTTAGTCAATTGTGTAATTATAGCTGTACACATTAAGTATGATCACAAGTTCATAAGTTATATATATAGTTCATAAGTTATATATATAATATATTGAATACACAATATTCAATATATAATATCTATATACCTCATGTATATATTATAGTATCTTTCCTTATAGTGACACAAATAAGTATCTATCTATTGTATGTTTGGGGATACCAATCGCGTGTTAGAGGTCATTGATAAGCAGCTAATGTAGTTGATCATATATTTATACATATACTATTATTTATTCATAGGAATACATTATAAATACATTCACTAAAATACTATTTTAAAAGTTATCGTAAATCATCTAAGTTTAAATCAAGGGTATTTTGTCCATTTTATGTATTTTTATTATTAATAAAATACATAGAGCATATTACTCTGCTACATACATTAAATATTATTATTAATATTTAATGTAGTCTGTACGTACATTAAATATTAATCATTTGTACATTTTACATTTATATTACTGAGGTCATAAAAATAGCTTATAGTATTCTTATCTCTACGTTTGTGCTCGTTAATCTCTGAAATGGCTTCACCTATTTCGGTGCGGCTTTCACTAATGTATTCTGGTACACTTTATTTTAAATTTTGTGTTTGTTTAAATCTAATCTGTTTCCAATCAAAGGTTAAATGTCGTTTACACTGACTTATTTTGCAACCTGCTCGAACCATTTTATGTATATTCTATACCAGTTTACATACAAAAACGTTATTAACTATTTTTAATCCGAATAAAACCAGTGTAACGTAGCAGGAAACCGTTCGCCCCTCGAATGTGCAGCCAGAAAGGGAATATGGCTTAATATTCAACATATAATGATTTATTTTATCGTGTTCAGTTCTCTTTCTCTATTTATATTCGTCACAGTATCAAAAAAAAGCCTAAATTTTTTCATCACCATCTATTTATATTTACTAAAAAAAAGTAAATTTTTTCATCACCCATATTCGAGTGGTAGATAATGCCGCAAGATGTTAAGTCCGTAATATGTATTTTTAAATTATTTGCATTAAAATGAAATAAATAGAATGCTATAGTATTAGTACTCGTCACCTAATTTTTAAAGTCATTATCATCTGTATTGTTACAATGAACTTTACACTGTAAAGTAGAACGTAAACACACATCCGGACATTATTAGCTATAGTGTGCAGTCACTAATCATTATTATACCCAAAATAAGTTAGTTTAATATAAATTTTAAATTTATATTTAATATAAATGTTAAAAATCTACATTGTACATTAAATCTGTGTGTGAGACCAAGAATAAACCAAGATGGTTTCCAGGAGATCCTTGACCAGAATGGACGTTATCCAACCTACCTAAAATATGTTTCTAAAGGAATTATTAAATCAAAAGTAGGTTGAGCATGGGGCTGAAGTTAATAGCTGTACAGAGTAGATAAATGGTTTATTCTGTCTAATCTATCTTTTTGTCATCCATACACCTACGTAAAAACTTTTAACGTAGGTGTATGTATGTACGTAAATATATATATGTCATGTAAATTATGTTAGTAAAAAGGTAATAAATAGGCAGATAATTTCAAAAGTACATGTACTCATATCTAGTTATACTCCTACACTACAGCAATAAAATGTAGGAGAAATAATCGATCTAGTACCTTATCACTACTTTATCAATGGTTACATAATGATAAATAATTTTATGAACAAAAAAGAAATCATAATAAAATTTGTTAAAATAATGCAAACACTCCTTTAGGAAATAGTCAAATAAACACATGATTAAAATTGTTAGATCGGCGTACAGCGCGTATCGTAAGTACGTATTACAATTACAACACTCAGTTCAGTTTTGTACGACTAGTGAACAATGGTCGTTGTGTATCCTAAATAATATTATTTTATAAATCTAGTGCGAGTGAATGAGGTAATTGTTATCTATTTTGTTTATATGTTTATTTATTAGAATTCAAACTTCTTTTATAAAACACAATTTTTTTATGGATCATAATGAATTGCATAGTCGCCTGCGATAACGTTATACGCTGAGGCACCAGTGGAGGATGATAAGATGAGCATGAGGTTAGATCAGGAATCTATGGATCAGGAATTACGATGGTTTCCAACAGTACATTGCTAGCTCTGGGGCTGTTAGTCCACATTACTAACAGTCCCTTGTGGAGTTTGGACCCCTTGGATCCCTTGGACCCCTCCAAGTGGATTTATTAAACGGAGTAATTTATAAAAATATTTTAATTTTATTTTAGAAGTCACTTTATAATTATTTAAGGAATAGCCTATTTTACTTGTATTTTAAGTGTAATTCTTATACCCAGAAATCTGATTGTCCAGAACAATCAGATTTCTGGGTACTTATTGTACGTAAGACATCTATTCTTACTAATTATTTTTAGCTATGTGTACTACGTAGGTATTCATTAAGTTTATTAATATATATGAATATTTGTTTAATATTATTAATATAATATTATTATTAATATAATAGGAAGTGTTATTACTACTAACAACATATCCCCGGTCCCCTAGTTACGGTTTAGTAGACAAGTAGACGGGCACTAGGTACAGGTCTCATAGTAATGTAGGATATTTCAACTTTCTCTCAGAAACGATAACGAAACCATCGTTGTTAATTCCTGCACTGGTGACCTGAGAGCTTATAAAGTTAGCGCAGGCGAATTCACTATTCCTAATTTATTCATTAAAAAGCTAATTTTTAAAATATTAATACTTTGATCACTATAATTTCTTGTTCTATCACACATTTTTACTTAATATAAAATGTAAATACTAAAGCTTAAATTTAAATTACTCGCTTGTTGTATTGAACAATGTAATGGATTTTGCAACTCCTTTCATGCACGCTTTTGAAGTAAAGTTCAAAAAACTGTTTTGTTCGCCTTTCTGTGCATTCACAAAGTGGTAAACACAATAAAGTCAAAATACAAGATAATTTATTATTTCTCTTGTATCATGCAGTCGACTTTAGATGAGTAAGATTATACGTTTAACTTATCAGACCTTACTTGAATTTTATATTTTTAGATTTAAGTGACTGTTTTATATCTGTTAGAAACCATTTTCTTTAACTTATGTGACAATATTCAGGATTGTCTTGACTTTTGTTTAATTTTATTAAATATCTGCAAAGTTTTGTTTTCTGTTCTTTTCAGATACGATGGAAATAACAAATAAATTCTACTGCACCTTAATAATTTTCACGTGTTATATTTATAGAGGTAAGATTTTGTTTGTACTTAATGCTTTATTACAGGCAGTAAATATAGTGTCGTATAAAATAAAAGTGATTATAATTATTGCTTATATTAATCATTTAACGGTTATTTAAGTTAAACCAAGAAATACAACTTTTATAATTTGTCATGAAATTCTTATTAATTTAAATTAATTATAATCAATTTATTACATTATAATATATACAGAATAGAATTTTATTTACACGACTTAATTGTACAAGTAAGAACTTAAAATTAAAAAGCTTAAGAAATATAATATAATAACCTAAAATATTATTTAAGACAAGTTTCAGATAGTGCAATAACAAGGGGTTTTTCTTAATATACAATGAAAAAAAATACACAAAAGTTAAATGGAAAGAGTGTCCCGTATCGTACCTGGCTTAAAGGTTCCCATAACGCTCGCAGCATTTCCACGTTGAATTGCTAGGGAAATTCTTTGCGCCAGATACAATCCGGAACGTCGGACATGGCCTCTGTCGACAAATAATTATTATATATAATATTAATTGATTTAATTATAATTAAAAAATACATAATTTGCTAACTTATTTAAGTAAAATTTATATGTTCCAATATGTCCAATTAAATAATCACTTTTTTAAATCTTTGGTATTAGACATGTATAACGTCTGACCAACATTTCTTTTGTTTGTTGTTTCGAATATACAAAAATATCTTTTGCTTTTTCCAATATTCGCCAAATTACAAAGCGTATCTGGGTAGCACATATAGTATATATATCCATTAGTTGATTCTCTCCAAAACGTCTTTGATTACATTATGAGAACAGCAAACGAGAGAATCACTGCAGAATAACTAAACGAGAAATACCCCAGAATTAAAATGGCCTGGAGTAATCCAAAATATTAGTAAACTGAAATAACTATATGGTATAGTATAGCTAATTATATTGTCTTGTATTACAGCATCTTCAATATACTGTTTCTACTGCAATAGCGCGAACAATAGCGCATGTGTGGACCCCAATTTGTTAGAAGAAGACATACGATCTCGCATCATTCCTGTCGTCGACTGTGAGAGAGCTATCCCAAGTCCGGTTCACGTGAACTTTTTCTGCCGCAAGATTGTACAGACCAGTTAGTTAAATTTTATAATACATATAATATAGCAACCCATTTCTGCTCATCAGTACAGTATATGAGATAGAGGTCGTACGAGTATAACCGACAAAATATGTGGAGATTGGCGAAAACATGTAGTATTTTCGGATAACAATACAAAAAAATACTGTTATGTTATATAAAGACGGTGTCTGATATAAAAATAGCAGACAACTTAGTCGAAATTTGACAATAATTAATTTAACATTCAGTAAGACTATACATTATTAATATTAAAGACTTAATAATAAGAATCTCATCTCGACTTAGACATATACTCGCAAACAATAATTATGTAGTTTGAAATCTATATATGTATATAACTATCTATAAATAACGTAACCAATTTCATTAATTTTACCCTCACCGCCCCTTGTCATTGCAAGTTATATGTTGAGTTTTATTTTAATACAATAATATGTGATGTCACATATTAATATTGTCATTAACGGTATCGTCGACGCTCTCCTCTCGTTTCTCTTCTCTCCTTTCGTTTTTTTATTTTTAATGTAGGAACTTTCCGGCCTGATACTCCATTGCTAGAAATGAACCTTGTCGGGTTCCCCACGGCAACCATCATGATAAATTCCTGGAAAATTGATCACTATGTACTGACTGACCTGACCTCCTTAGCGCTGGCGGGTGCACATTTTCAATAAAAAATATCATCTATTAAAATGTGGTTTCCAGTATACCAAGCCCACCACGACTCAGAACTACGCGTGACCCGCGGCTGCGGGTGGGTGCGCCACGAGAAGGAATGCTACCACGCAAACAACCACGATCATCTGGAGACAGTATGCCAGTGTTTCCATGACCACTGCAACAGTACCGATCAGCTCGACCCTGGCGCCATGACCATTGTCTTTTTAGCGCTAGCAGCGGTTTTACATTATTATAGATAAATCATATGTCTTAATCAAATAAATAAATAATCAAATATTTTCTTTTAATATGTAACTTTCATAACTTCATGTTAATATTAACACGTCTAAGTCAAAACTTAGCCCGTTTTTAAAAACAATAATTTAGTAGGATATTAATAAGTTGCAATTTTGTCATATTGAAATTAGACTGACATCATTCTGATTTTTCATCGTCATTAGCAAAACATTTAATGTGATAAGTGCATAGAAAATAAGGAATCCACTAATTGAATGGTGCACTCGCCTGCTCTAACAGTTTACGCTGGCGGGGCACCAGTGGAGAATGATAAGATAAACATGAGGTCAACTCAGTTAGACCAATGTGACAAATTTATCATGACGGTTTCCAGGGGGAACCGCGTGGTGGTCAACCTGACTTGGTACATTACTAGCAAGAGGATCATCAATCCACATTATATTTTTTATACAAACATTGCAATATAAAAGCGTCACGGGCTATCATTTATTTAGTAAAGTATTATCCATTCTGCATTTGTATGCATTTTCTGTAATTCCAATTTAAACACTGGTACTAACAATATTCGTCATAGGGCTAATAATACAGGTAACGAATACAAAGCTCCCATAGGGCCGCTTGCACACGGACCATTGTTTGTTCATTACTTATTTAGCGGCGGGTATGACGTATGGTGCCACTGTCAGAGGGCCCTAAGAATAGCGTGTCTTATATGTGATTATTATTAATTACTTTCTTTTGCTGTTTTAAAAGTACAGTAATTAATTTAACCAATATCTTCATACTTTAACATTAAATAGCTTATACGTAAAACTATTATAGATTCAGCGACAACATTACAGCAATTGGACTAAAATCGGCTACACGGGCATATTATATAAATTATCTCCCTTCCCTACTACTGCTCCGACGTTGCCTTTGATTTTAGTGTCATGATCATGTCATGTAAGCTATTTTGTATAATAATCATATAGAAGAGTCATAGAAAATTATAAAATAGGGGAAACGGTTTCGTCAATCGCTAATTGGTATTAAAGTTTCTTCAAATACTGAGTAGTGTTATCAGAATGTCAAACAAAATTAACAGAACATATTTATTATAATAATAAAAATAATAATTGTTCCGTCAAATGTAAAGTATTTTAAATGTAATAAAAAATAGTCCCAAAAGGAGTGTATATAGAAATTATTATTAATCTATGGTACTAGGTAATATTAAAAAAAAAACTTTCATTGTTTATATACTATTTAAATCAAATGAAACCATTTTGTTTTCAGAATAGATTCACGATTTAAATCCTAATAAGGAGAGCGTCCAATTTTATTGGACATTGGACGCTGGCATTCGGACTCCAAAATGATATTTACGTCATTATGGTGTTCTGTTTCTACGTCGCTCGTAAATAATTACGGAAACATTATTATACAATTCTATTGCATAAATTACTATATATATATCATCCTGATTATCTGGATGAATGGCGGTCTTCCACAGTGCGGTTTTCTAGAAACTTTTTGCCTCGCACAACCACATTGTGGAATCTCCTTCCAGCAATGGTATTTCCGAACCGATACGATATTGAAACCTTCAAGAAAAGAGCTTATTCCTTTTTAAAAGGCCGACAACGTACTTGCAATTCCCATGGTGTTGCGGGTGCTCATGGGCGGCGGTAATCACTTACCATCAGGTGAGCCGCATGCTCGTTTGTCCCCTGTGATATAAAAAAAAATAATAATGTAATATATACATATCACAGATAGAACAGAAAAATGCAGTGGCTACGAAAGTCTCCATCATCATCATACACACTGGTTACAATGCTTTTTAGAATATCCATTTTAAACAAAAATTGTATTTATTTACTACTGGTGTTTCCATACATAATAGAACAGAAATATTTGTCACACTTTTCATTTCCACAAATTGAACCTACAGTTGACAATGTTTCTATTTCAAATCTACACCATCAGTACAATTTAAAATTTAACGCTCTAACAAATAAATTTATAAGACGGAAGTACAAATAGGGGTTCCAATTTATGTTCTGCTTTGGAGCCCTAAATATAGATTAGGTCTACAAACAGAAGCTCCTCTTGTGGACACCAGACAACATAGGTACATATTAGCTATTTTAAACTACCGGTATGTAATTCTTGGTCTGTTTTCAGCCGGAGAATTACAGTGTAGACGATTTTTTTTATCCAACACAACATTTTTTCTCCTTTGTCACGCATAACATTTCGTCCGTTATTAAGAAATGTATAGAAAAAATACATAATCTTTCTTCAAATAAACTGAATATCATCAGAAGTAAGACGGTGTGCTAAATCGAAGCGGTTGGATTTGACTGTCGTACTGTGTACAGACAAGCAATACATAATTATACTTAACTATAGCTATAGCTCTATTCGTTTATCATAAAAATATGACAGACCCAAAACAATGATAGATTTTGATATGTTTGTCTGTAAGGTTTTGGGCGCTAAGCTCAGCGTAACCGTGCAGTTTTCGTTAATTTATTGTGGAAAGCTTCACATAAAATGTTGTGTTTGTTTTATTCCAATCGCTTTATAAATAAATAAGTTATACGAGATCGAGGGCTCAGTTAGTGATTTTAATAAATAAATAATATGTGTCTAATAATAATATAACAGAGATTTTAAATTTCGTCGATGACGTAGGTACAACTAGTTATATTAATATGTATCTATTTTTAGTAGATTAAATTACAATTAAATAGTTGCTCGGTCCAGGGATCGCTTACCTAGTACGAGCGCCATTTTAATTTGCCGCGGTGCCTCCAGCGGGATTATCTGTCTTTACATCCACAATATTAATAATATAACATTTAATATCAAGTTTTACGACCTGTGTTTAACGAGAACCACTATTTGTAGACGGTTAAAATATTAAATAAATATTCTTTGTTCTATACACATACACGTGTAGAATGAAAATATATTATTATGTTTTTTACAACTTACTTTGCTTACAGAAAGTTAGATTCTTACTAATGTTATAAACGCGAAAGTTTGTGAGTATGGATAGATGTATTTTACTCTTTCACGCAAAAACTACTGGCCAGAATTTGATAAAAAATTACAGTATTATAGCTTATACATCAGAATAATATACATATGCTATAGATGTCATGCGGGTGAAACGTGGGCACAGCTAGTGAGAATACTTTTTTTTCTTTAAGACCTCTTCGAATTTCAATTCAAAATGTTCGGATTCGAAAGACCTAGTCACGAAATATTCTAAATTTTTAAAATATTATGCAATAATGCGCTTTCTGTTGTATCGCATAAATTAGAGTGGGATTAAAAGGTTTTTGAATACATATCTATTATATGTATGTTATCTACTAAAAAAGATTTTGGCTAAGGTTTTATGGACATTCCGGTGGTAAATACCCGTCATCTATGGTAACGGTAGTGAGAAAAAAAAGAGGGATTTGTGAAAGGAAACAATATAGTGTACTATATCGTAAATGTCCTCTGCAAGTTATAGCTTTACAGATATCTATCAAAAATAATTTTCGTACGTGAATTGGTAGATATAGGTAAATAGCTATTTTTGCATTGTGTATGAAAATATGGATGTGAAAAAATGTAAAAAATATGGAAAACGATTAAATAAGACGTTAGCAATTATTCCCTTTAATCTAAGGTTGTAGTTTGAAGCGTGAAATACATTAAATTGCTTTCAGCAATAAGACCGCCTTATTGAAACTTATGCCTTTTCTTTCCTATATCTTACAAATAAAGTATATTCTATCTATCTATCTAAATTCAAGACTGGAACTATACCTACTATAATGCATATTGATACTGTAAGTTTGTTCAGTGTGCGTAAGTACGTCATCAGGGAAACTTAACAACAATAGCTAATTAGTGTAATGTACTTACAACCACGAATGATGTTTTTTTTTATATAATTGGAATGATAAACAAGGTAATGGTAAGCAATAACCGTCGCTTATATATATGAACAGCATTATGGACATCACATTATCATGTAACACCCACGATACCCCTAACTAAGATATCATGCCTCTTATTCAGTAATTTCACTGCCTAATTTGTACACTACAACCGAAACACAGTTTCATTTTTTCTCCTCTTTATCTTCTCCATTTCTTTTTGTTATTTTAGTTTTATTTCAAAGCAAGCTATTTGGCAGCTGAAAGAGGTAAACTGAGATACCCACGCAAGTGGCTTTTTACAGTCCACCACAGGTTTCTAGGTGATATTAAGAGAAATACTAAATATTGACTGATCATTTTATTTCAATAATTTCACGACTTATAAACAACTATCTGTCTTGTATTTATTATATTAGAATACAATATTTTGCCAGAACCATTTCATGGATTAGAGTATTAAATACAATTGGAAAGAACATTTAAAAATCCATCCAGCCTTGAGAAATAACTCTGGCAATTTACGATAACAATAAATATCTTAATAAGTAACAAATGTTTCAATAATTATTTATAATAATTTATTACACGCAATACATTTATAACGCATTATCAATTTAGTACCATTTACAATATAATTAACAAGTTTTTGGAAAGAATACTGTTGACAAAATATCATAATTATAGAAATGGGCAGGTGTAACTTTATGTCTAGTATTAAGTACCAGATTTTTGAACGATTATATGTATTTTACTTAATACTTAACATTACTGAACTTTTATTGAGAAAGTACAAGGTACGTGGAATTGCAGCTGTATTATTTGAAGTAAGTGGTTCAGTTTTGCCTGGTTTGCCTTTTCTCCCTTTCCTCGTGCATCGGCTCCATTTGTTCGGGCTCACTGCGGTCACTGCTTTCATTTGGGATCGTGATATCTGTCAATAATAATAAAATATTTAAAAAATACAATAAATACCTTATCAGAATTACCTAGGTAGTAGACCTATGCTACTAGTAGAACTACCAAATTCATAATTCTAAGGTGTAAAATTAAATAAAGTCAAGAAAAATTAAGGAAAATAATATCTCTGAACAATTTAAGGGAGCTTTTGTTATGGGTACTAAGACAACTTATAGAAATATTATACAAAATAATAATTTGAAAATATATACATAATAATATAACTGCCAGATAAATACGAACTATCATATTTATAATCACATTGTTAGATCGTTCTATGAATCGAACTTACGACCAAGTCAAGCGGAATGTTAAATCGCTAGACTGCCGTGGCCATAGTGCCTACACAGAATTTGAGTTTCTAGTACATAGCCAGTTTATTTATTCCTTGTTTCTTTAGCTTCGATAATTGTACTTTGTTTTTGAATTAAGTAAAATGATGTAAAACTGGTACTTTATTCGGGCAGTTGAATGTCTCTACAGCAAACTATATCTTCTTTATAGACATTTAATTTACTATTTATTTTCTTTATACTTATTACCTTATTGGTAATATTATTGACATAAACGTAAACAAGATATCGTAAGCAATATTTTTTACTTTATAAAACATATATTTTTATGTTTATAATGTTTTGAATATATCAGTAGATATATCAAAAGGAAGTTAATACGGAAACGTATTCATTTGCTCATAAATAAGCCAGCTGATATACTTTGTGAGCTCTAATATTAAGATATGAGATCAATGGAAATATATAATTCTGATATATTTTCGTAGGCGGTGGTAGTAACACCCCCTACCAAGTAACACTCAAAGGCTCGATGAGATATAAGCCTGAAGTGTAACTTTCATCACAAAGGCAATAATAAAAAAAAATCTTTCATCACATTATATTTCATGAGTTAACAAGCTGGTACCAAAGATGTTTGTGTTTATTAGATACAGTTCGTGGTATCGTGATACATTATGGAAACAAAACATTTATTCATGTAGAACATGTCATCATCATTTGTGTCTCGTAATCGTATCACTCACACACACACTTGCTCTAATGCTCATAAATTATAAATATCATTTATTTTATTTTATATACTTTGTCTTTCTCTAAACGTTCTTAAGGAGTAATATTCATTTATTTTCATTTGTTTTTATTTAAATTGTATACAATGCTCTGGAAGTGGGCGCAAATAACTGCAACACAGTTTTTGTAAACTAATGTAGTTGTTTACCTTTAACATGTTATTGTTAGGTATAACTTAGTTTTTGGTTTAAATAAATTCTTTAATTCTGTAATACACTCTATCTTCATATCAAATTTAATTATGATCTGTTCATTCGTTTAGTCATAAGAAACTAATAAACTGACAGACTGACAGATACACTTTCGAATTTACACTATTAGTATTATTATTCCTAAGTACCATAGATATATGCAATTGTAGGCAAGAAATTAGAAAATACGTCACATGTTTATCAGAATTTTTTAGTTTAGATGCCTAATTATATTTTATTTTCAACATAATATACTTATTATAAGGAAATATCAAACGAAACTTCTTGAGTTTTATTTTCTTGTCTCGCCGAGTAGTATTTGTAAGCAGTATTTTCGCTAACAGTGGATTACAGTAGAAGTTCCCCGGAACGGCAACGATGTATCACTCTTTATGTATATTGCAGTATACCAGTATGTATGCCAGTTGCAACGATAAGCCTAGGTTGGCCGCCTGCATATTTGCAATTTTCTAATACATAAAAATAGATTATGGAATTAATAAATTATAATATTACCATCATCTTCGCTCTTAAAAGACCGTCCCACGCGAGGTCCAAACCACATTCCATTGGTGTCTGAGCGGCGAACATGCAGCGGTTCTACGACGGGCTCCCGGAACAGTGATAAGTCACTGCGTCCAACTCGCGGGAAAGCATATAACTGTCGCTTCTCTATTGGTTCGTATTCTATAACATATGATACTCTGTATTAGTGTGAATAATAAAAAAAATATACTTATTCATACAGATTTATTACAGACACTTATACGTCGAAATGCCTTTTGAAATAAGATTGGACATGATTGTAAATATTCAGATTTATGTTTACTATGCAACAAACATCATCATATAGGTAGGTTCCTCAAAGGGTTAATATTGCAATCATGTATACTACATGTATATATAGATCTTACGATAGAATAAAATAGATTTATATTTATAATATTATAGTAGGTATATGTACTCTAATACTTATATCATAAAGATGTAAAGTTTGTGAGGTTGTAGAGGTAATCTCTGAATCTACTGAACTGTTTTTCAAAAAACTGTAGGATATCCCATTTATCCAGTAAAGCCTAACATATAGGCTATATAACAGCAAGCTACGACCAATATCAATAATACGAGCAGAGCTGCAATGGAAAATGTAGTGTAAACGGGAGAAACGTGATGCAGACGAAGTTGGGCGGGTCAGTTAGTATAACATATATAAAAAGGATCTTTTTGTAGTTAGGCAAGGTATGTAGTTTTTAGAACTTGTAATTGTTGTATTAAATAAAAAGATTAGTGTACAACGGTGCTGTGTCAGTAAAGAAAAAATAATTTGTGGTAAATTTAATTCTTATGGGATTATCTTAGTGGACAATGGATTGTACTAGAGTGAAGAGTTTCTATGTCTCCAGGTATCAAAATTGCGATCATTATGGACGATTCATCATGAGATTGTAATTAATTTTAACATACCTTCATGCCTCCAACTTTATCAAGATAATATATGGTAACGTAATTTAAACCTTAGTAACAAGTTACAAAGTGCAGTTTTATTTGTTATTAAATGAAGTTAATTTAATCATAATAAGAATCTGCTCAATAATTTCGTAATGTGCTCCGCCGTTTTGAGGCTTTGATCAGATATATATATACATATAGGCGGGTCTGTTGTTGATCAAAGTTATTGATGTTGTTACGTCGCTTATCCGCGAGAAAATGTGTTATGAAAAATATAAAGTAGTTATGTATATACATCGGTATAAGAATAAATTAATATTTAAATGATCTGTGTGAAAAAGAAAATGTGTTAAGGAGTAATAAGTAAAAGAAAAACTAAATATTTTTTAATTTATAAATTAGACACCCATTAAGTATAAGACCTCTATTGCAACTGACAAAAAGAGTTGAAAGGCCTGAATATATCTTCATAAATTGTAGAGCAACCATCTTGATCACATCTGTTTTTAAACTGACATCATAATTGGTCTGATGTCACAGAGAAATACACAGGCACGTAAAACTTATAACTGCCCCATTTTATATCAGGCGACCCTAAGTTAGTGGGTTAATACTAAGTTAGTGAGAATACAAATTATTTATAGACGAAGGACAGGAAAATGGTGATTACTGTCTTACCTAAGTACAACTCGTTGTGTGGAACTTGCCAGGTGTGTCTTCCAGCTCTGCCAACTCTTGGGAATGGATACAAGTTGAGAACTCCATCACGGCGCAATTTCGCGCTGTTGTCTGTTAACATTAAAATAAACTCTTGACAATACAGCGCTATCTTAGCTAGCGAAATTTCAGGAAAGCATAACATCTAAATCCTATATACATAATAAATATAGTATGTGTATATTGATATACATACAGTTATATCGGTACGGAAATCGTAAGAAAAATTGTTGTTATAACATAAATTTCAATATCAATAAAATGTCACATTCGAAGCTAAAACCCTTGATAACACTCGACGGTTGTAAACGAAACTACCTCTAAATACCATATCCATATATATATGAGTTGTGTAGAACTGACGAAAATAGTAATTAATCTAGTCATCAGTAGATCAACATAAAATTCCTTGTAAACTCGGAACAGGTCGCAGTACAATGACTAAATAAGAATACATATTACCGTAGCACTCTCGCATTCTAGCATTTGGTGACTACTACAACTCAAGAACTCGATAAAATTATTTAAAAATTGTTTCAACTCATTCGGTACGTTACTGAGATAGGTACGTGAGATTATAATTTTATTTTAAAAAATAAGAAGAGTTGCAATGATTGTGCAAACCTGAAACAACCCGTCAATTAATACGATTTGCTTGAAAAAAAGAATTGTAGATGCACGTCGCCGTCGGTCGTAGTATGTCTACAAATAGACTGACAAATGTGTAACCGCCTCTGTGTACAATGGAAATCTACCCTCATAGATTTCAATCAAAGTTTCCGCCCTTTAAGAAACAAACGTGTCCGTCGGGCAAATTCTGTTCGGCGCCATCTCAAGACTTTTCGATCACAAATTTATTCAAAAACAATAGAAAGGTTATTTGTATTACTAAGTAGTTTTTTTTATATATTATCTACTTTTAGAAAGAACTCCACATGTAAAAAATCTGCTATATTTGCTAAGAAGTATAATAAAATAGTGTACTATGGAATAGGAACCTCTTTTTCATGAATAGTAAACAAGAAAAAGGTATAGTTAGTTAGTATAGGTCTATATACATGATTAGCAAAACGAACATCAGGTCTTCAAGTGATGCCTGTGATACTCACACAGTGTTACACCTAAGGACTAAGTAGATAATGAATGGTATGGAATCTTATAATTGCACCGCCACACTCACCCTTTTAATCGCAAAATTTCACAAAGCAGGCTGTTTGACGACAGTAACAGTGGTATCCTCAGAAACGACTTTGCACAAGGTTAACTACGGTAAAAAAAACTCTTTTTAAAAACTGCCTTGCCTTAACTCATCAGTTCACACCACGGTGAGTAGGGATAAACTATTAATAAATACCTACTCTATAACTTGGGGAAAGTACATACAATTATTGTCTGAAATATTTGTAATAAACAAAGTTTAGTGTCAAACTAATTGACCACTAATTTGTACTTAATTGTCTCAAATTAAATTAAATTATAATAGTATCCACATCGTCTCTGAATACTCTAGAAGAAATATGTAATTTGTAGTTCATTAATGTAATATTTAGTTGTAATAAAAATTAAAAGTAATTATTTAATAATATACCCTGAGTTTCCTGCATATGAATATATTGTACATATATTCATATACAGGAAACTTCTTATTTGATAAAGAATAATTTGTGTAGTACCTATGTACTCTGTAGTTTAACTCTCTTGTAAAAATTGAAATAAGACTAATCAGGAAATTGTGGTAATAATTACTATTATGAAGATAAAACCATACCCATTAGTAATGTACGGTAATATATACTTGGAATGATTGTGAGTAACTAAGTAGGTATCTCATGACCAATTTTTCTCCAACATTCATAATCAAGGTGTTCCGAAATGTGCTAATATTTATTCTTGTAACGAGAAATCCATGCCCAGTGGTAATGTAATTAATTATATAATTTATAATGATCACAAAACTATGTTTTAAACAATTTTTCCTTGACATATTTTTTGTTATAACTTAAATTTCCTCGTTTATGGCCGTAAAATGAACACTTTCCATTCCGTACCTCTTACTGAATGAACAGGGATAAAACTAACTGCTGGTGCTGATATACTTTTTCAACTTCCGTTTTCATTCAGTACGTCTTCTTCTTCTTCTACAATTAGTTGGAATAAAATATTCCCTGTGTCTACCAGTGTTAATGCTACCTACATACTAAATATCAGAATCATTGACTAAGATTCTATAGCGTAAAATAAACAAACACCGCTTTGCATTTATAATTTTAATCAGGATGGTACATCTATGTGTATATTCTTCTCCCTACAGGGAGCCGGTAGGACATCACCACAGAAACGTAATCAATCATGTATCTCTAATTTTATGGTAGTACATTTTAAATAACGTCCTACTTGACCTTTACTAGTTACATCGCGGCTTCACCTATTGAGAGGTACTGAGTTGATCTTTAATTTAATTTCCTTAATATCACATTTTTGTTCAGACGAACGAAAAATAATTATCTCAGATGATCCTTTGCAATCTGTTTATCATACCTTTGTAATTTTTTTAATTTTCACTTGTGAAACCATAGTCAAATCAATCATATGACTTATTTCTCGAAGATAATACGTAGGGACAAGTTTATAATGTATAATTTAAAATTTACTGAAATACTAGCCTGTGTTTAGAGCATACAATTCTAGTCCTTTGTTTTGATTTTTTTTTTAATTCGAAACCAAGGACTAATTGTAGTAGTTGTATGCATATAACACGTAAACCACGTCCTTATAAGCAAACATGCATTATACAAAATAAGAAATCATTGTAGGACATTTTATCCGCTTATGAACGTCAAGTTTTTTATCAATATTATATTTTTTCCCTACCGTCCAGTTCAATATACAGATTCAATTCAAACGATCTGGCAGTTTATTTACATACGCTTATACAGGTGTCTATGTCCAAGATTAAATTAAAATACCGTTTATCACACTCGTATACAGCTCGTGTCAACTAAAACAGCATACAAAGGAAGCTGCTTAATGGCTGATAAGCATATGTGTGACGTAGATGTCCACTTTATACAAATTAAACCTCAGTAAAAATTAATACTTATCATATTTATTACCTAAATTAACGAGTTGTAAGCTACACAAAACTTACCATGCAGAGTTACCGCTGGCCACGTTTATAATCAGTTTGTCTTCAATTATTTACCTAAAATCTGTATAATCCTCACGTCTAATCTTTCTACACATCAAATATTTACATTGCACATGTAGCTAACCGCCGGTGTTTCTCTGGTTTCAAAATCAGATCATATTATTCTGTTCTACCCAATTATTTTTTAAATACGCATATATGTAGTTAGCTTAAAAAAATATTTGAATTGAAAGATATCATAAAATAGTGTAGATATTATTTAAATGTATTACGGAATTTTGATTTGTTATCAACGGCGTCTCATTCCATTATGCTCCATATAATTATACTTCTTTTGCGTAACTAAATGTATATTAACTATGCCATTTTTGGACTATACTAATCTATATTGATATGTTCGTTAGTTATGAAATAAAATTGTCTTCACAATACATAGGTAAAACTACCAATAAAGATAATATTGAAAAGGTAATGTTTTAAAAAAGGTATATGAAAATCATCTATGTAACCTATTTCAGGTAGCAAGCAGTTGCTTTGTTGCTGCGTTGTAATTGTTGGATATAAGCTAGTGAAATTACAGGATATGAAGGTATGACTTAACCCTCTAGGATTGCGACATAGCACTGGTCACGTGATGATATAGTATTCCTATGCTGTCAGGTATAAGGACAACATAATATGCCATTGCAGTTATATAAATAAAAAAAAATTACTTACGATAGGCACTCGCGACTGCAGATGTGAGTAGGACCAACGCGGCCACCAATCTTACTGAAGACTGCATGGTTCCTGTACAGAAAATATTATTACATAATTAAGACTTACGTTTTTTAAACTTATACTGTTACTAGTAGTTAGTAGAAGTTTCTGGAAATTATTTCTTTGTGCCTATGTGTTGCCTGTGTTGTAATGATGGTGAAAATGATTATGTGTTGTCGAAATGCTAATTTATTGTAGTGTCCTAGGATCGAACCCCTGTCTATCGAAAAGCAAAGTGAGCGTACGCTAAACCACTAGGTACTTATTTCGTTTGTATTTTCCTCATACATTCATCAATATAATGGTTCTATAAATATCATCTATTGAAAAAGTATTACTTGCACTGAGTATATTATCTACTCGTATATATACATATATTAATTTAATTTTTGTTTAATTCCTCTCACTCATACAGCCCACTAATCTATCGACCACATTTTAATTCTCGACTGAAAAAATCGCACTTATATTAATTTATAATAGCGTTTCTTATGTAGTATATTTGGTATAAGTATATTACGTACGTATATATGGAAATATATTAGAACACATGCGTGTAACTTAACAATAAGTGGGCGTATAAGCATTAATGTAATCATAAATCTTGAATTTTGATCACTATCAACGGAGAAACTTAAATCTACGGATTATAGATAAAGCCAAATCGTTTATACTACTGAATGTTTAAACATCTAATATTTTGCCTTTAATATTATACGAAAACTATATGCGCATTAACAAGTATGGTTAACCTTTAGGGAAATAAATAGTTAATGAGAAATATTTATAAGTAGATAATAATGACTTACTACTAGTGTATTTACGTATATTTTGCTCTATTATGGATATATTTTATAGATAACTAGCTGATCCGCAAACGTTGTATTGCTATATAAGTTGAAATCGCTTTTAAAAAATAGGGGTTGATGCTAGAAGGGTGAAAATTTAGGGTTGTATTTATTTTTCAATCCTAAATAATAATAAAATGAAAATAAAATATTATGTCGAAAAAATAAAAAAAATATATTTAGGGGTATCCCTTACCACTTAGGGGTATGAAAAATAGATAGTAGCCGATTCTCAGACCTACTGAATATGCATATAAAATTTCATAAAAATCTATCAAGCCGTTTGGGAGGTGTATGGTAATTAACATTGTGACACGAGAATTTTAAATAGATATAAGATGTAAAAAAGAAGAGACACTTATAAATTCTTTATGCCAGAACAGTCAGTCATCAGAGTTAAGACGGCGATATTTGTTCAAGTGAAGAAAGAAATTATTTCTTTACTGATTATTCAGACCAATAAAATTTTATTCCTTCTTAACGTTTCCTCAAATTGTCTCCATCTGAGCATCAAATATTTAAACTTTCGTCGCCAAAAGAGGGGAGGTATATGTTTGTATGTGTGTATCTGTAAGATGGTGTTTGCATAAAAATTGACCGATATGATGAGTTTTTTTTTTGTTTGATAGCTAATTTTATCAAGATTATTTAAGTCTACAGGAGGTTCTCGTTACTTCGGCAATGGCACTCGTAGATTACACCATGTAATTTTTAGTGGCTAAGAATCTGGATGGTCTTTTAAAGATTTTTCCACAAGATAAAAAATATTTACAGGAGTTAGAAGTAACTTCATAAAATTTGGACAAATTTCTCTTACATGTTTTATTCCGAAGTGATGATGAAGTCGGTTAAAATTGGAATAAAATTATAACTTCCTTTACAGTTGAAGGTATGTCATTTGAATAAAATAAGGGATAAGTTTAGATTTAATTTCTTACACGAAAACTGGAGTAACCAACTAATATAAGACGTTTTGAAGAATACTGTTGTTTTTAATGAAGTTTCAAGGAGTCTTAAGAGTTGCTGGTCATAAAATATAGTTTTTACAATACCTGTTATCATCAAAATATGCCGTCAGCTTGTGAGGCATTAAAATTGTAATAAAAAAACTACGGTCATTTATCAATATTTTCTAAGATAGTTTATTAGTTGTTTACTAACATAATATGGATGGAATCCGAAATAAATAGATAAATAATATAATAATAATAATAGCTTTAGAGCCCCTTTCTTTATTTTTTACCTGTTTTTCGCGAAACTGTTACATATAGATCAATGCTATCTCTAAATATGCGTCCCGACCTATCATGTCACCCTAATATAGGTAGATACAAGTAGGCCAGTGCAGTCATTAACAAAGAACCTGTCTTACGGCCCCTTAATTATCTAATTAGTCCGTTTGTTTATTTTGCTGTCCGTCATAGTCTCATTACATTAACTAAATGTGTAATTTACATTATTAAAGAATTATTTTTATTATATTATAATAAGAATCAAAATAGCCGGTAACAGAGAGTCTTCTTAAATTACATTAGGCACAATAAATATATATATATGAAGCTAGCGATTTTAAATCTTGTTTTACCAAATAAATTAAAATTGCTTTAAAAATAGGGATTGATATAAGGATGAATAATAATACATAGTAGTCGATTTTCAGACAGAATATGCATATTTCATTATAAAATTTCATTAAAATCGATCAAGCCGTTTCTGAGGAGTATGGTAACTAACATTGTGACACGAGAATTTTATATATAAGATTAAGTTATAACAGGAAAAAAATAATGATTGTTAGATACAATATTTTTTCTGTGATACATATCGGTACATATATATATATGTATACATAACTAATTAACTAATTGTCGAAACCATATTTAGGAAACCTAATGAAGGTATACATTTAATAAGAACAGAATCACAAGTTTGTTTCTGGGAGTTATTTAATGAGGATCGGAACTGATCTTTAAGGAAAATATAATAGTTTCTCTGTATCCAATATAGGGAGAGACAGTTTAACGAAATTCTGCTTTAATGAGCCAATTTTAAGGCATATATGACAAAGTCTCTACGTATCACCGCAGGATTTGGTTGGTTTGCCAGGGGAGACTATCAGTTTGAGGCTACAAATATATTCTACAGTTGACCGCTTTTTATTGTTATTTTATAGTATGCGACATTTACCACCATACACATCATTAATCCTTCGAGCCGTTTCTGCAGCAAGTGCCATGGCGGAACTCGTAAATGTAAATGACGCGATATTTTAAGTTTTCCATTTTGTAAGCTGAGTGACCCAAAGAAAAAACCAAGCACATGTATCACGGTTTTCGAAAAACAAAATGAGTGAATAGCCGTATAAATTTGAAATTGAAATTTCTAGGAGATATTTAATTCACAAAACGCTAATTTCATATTTAAGAACCTAATATATTTGATAAAAAAAACTTATTCATAATATGTATAATGTTTTTTACTCAATAAAAGTTTTATAATTAATTTTATAGTTAAATTTTTTTAATAACAAAAATCAGTGGTTTTTTATAAATTTTCAGATAAATCATTTTGTTTTTGTATCTATATTATATAAAAAATCATTTTTTAATAATGACTATTTTGAGGCAAAGATATTGTACAGTTACCGCTGTTTGTTGTTATTTTATAGTATACTCTATATACATTTACTCAGAAATTAAATATTGCAAATCCTCAACCAACAAGAAAAAAATAGTTAGTAAGTAATTCACAAACGGTTGATAAACCTTAAATTTTTTAATATTCTTTTTATAAATTTTCAGATAAAACATTTTGTTTTTGTATCTATTTTATATAAAAAAACATTTTTTAATAATGTTTTAAAAAGGCTCGCTATCAAGAGCTTGAACCTATTCAACCTACTTATAAATTACTCTTTTTAATCAATTTAAAAAGTAACGCAATGTTTTTATTATGTTTATTTATTTATTTATTATACATTTATTAACAAAAGTATGCACTCAAAAAACAATAACAACAAAAAATTATAATGTTGATATTGTTTTTTATAAATTTCATAACAATTTTTAAATTATCCTCACTATAAAAATAGAAACAAAAAATCAACATGCAATATTCACTACATTGATTGAAAGAATATTGTTCTTCTTGTTATGAATATTGTTGCTTAGAGTGATTTACTGCACTGTGAAAAGAGCATATTGCGACATCAAATATTAGTCAGTCAATTTCTTAAGATTACTCGTAGTTATTAGTAGTTGGTTATTGTTATAATAAATTAATGTTTTATTTTTTATACTATTTAAATGTAGGAAATAATTATTGAAAAAAGACTTTAATTAATTTTCGGTTATATAAATATTTTAATAACATAAAGGATTCCCTGATTTATTGTACAGTAAATAATTGATTAACTATTGATTTAAATTTATGTACATGCAATATTATAAATAAAAATAATGTATTATATTAATATTTATAATAAATTATATTTTATTAATCATATCAATATGAATTAATCAAAAATATAGGCAACATTACACTAGCGTTGTAACACTCACCTTTGCTCTCCTTACCTGTTGCACGACGGGAATGCTGTACTGCCGTCTGATACCCACTTTATATAGGACGGGACGCCCTCACGGCAGCGGTGCTAAAACTTTGTCGAACAAATGTAAATTATGTAATACATTTGTTGCGTAAAGATTTCATAATATTTCGCTTTCTTTACCTCGTGAACGATGTGGTTTTCAATTTTACTACTCGGTTTGGTACTTTTAAACGTTGGTCATGAGTTCGAATCCTAATAAAACTCTATACTCTGTTCTACTAGGTAAATTATCTAAGTAAGTAAGAAATAAATAATATAATAGAAATATATGGAGCCATTTGCGCGTTTATCATCACCTCTGTATTAAGTAATTACATAAAAATAATGAAACAAAAATCTAGAAAACTAATAAAAGGCATAATATCTCATATATACAATGGAATTACATAAAGGGGTTTCTGATAGTTTTCCCAACATTATTATTACATTTTTTTTTGTTATATTGAAATACCTTTGAATGATATATACAATATCATTTTCTTACTTTGTTGTGAGACCTCTTGGGATTAATATTGTTTCTGTTTTTTTAAATATTATATATATATATAATGTATATAATATATAGGCACTACGGGCGTAGTGTAACGACGACTTCAGTGGCGGTTTAGATCCCGATGGTTGCGGAATTGATTCCTCGCACTGTACTAACATTTGAATTCACGAGTTTGATTGTTTGTATCTAGGTGTATTCTATATATGTTAGGTGTGCATATACACAAAATGTAAGTATTTATCAATTCTCTAGTACCATAACACAAGCAATGCTTACCTTATAAATAGATGGCGCTGTGTGAATTGTTAAAAGAATAAATATATTTTTGTACAGTTTGAGATACAGCACGCGGTGTGGTAGCGGAATCACGTCCGGAGTGTTTAAAGATAATTCATTTACGGCTCACCCTTCGCCCCACAGCCCACACCATACAAATGTTATACTGGCTGAAAGTGCTGAAACACTATTGAAAGAAAGCTTACCAAATGTACCGTATAAAAATAATGTACAGGCGATATAAATAGGGATTTTTGAATACAAAAAGCGTATTAAACTTATTGTTTTGTAATTATTATCTAATAATTGCATAAAAAATTATTACATATAATAAAATCATAAAACCGTCAAATACAAAAGCTTGAAAGAAGTACATATTCTTAAATACAAAGAATTTATAAATATAATGCTAATAATTATTACATATAATCTACGTACGTATGATTAAACAATGATTATTAATATATGATTAATAATAATAATTAAATTCATCTGATATTCTTGTAGTTTTGTGAAATAAACGATTTTTTTATTTTCATATATTTATTTATTTTATAATCGTCAATAAAATACACAAATAGAAAAACTGTGTGCTTTTGTGTAATTTTTTTTTAGGTAAAACAGCTACAGGAGTTTGAATTAAACTATCACAGAATATCACAAAATAATTAGTCTGTAGCAGAATATGATTTTGAATCAACAGTCAAGAACGAGTCAACAGAATAAAAAGTTAAGAACAATATCTCTCAAAGGGTGAAGAAATTATTTCGTTTTTCTATAAGCTACTATTACGTTAATTAATTTATTGGTAAAATAAAGGTTGTTTTATATGTATATATACTATGTATTGAAAATTAAAGAACTACTACGTTTTCATCTCTAGCGAGACGCACCCTGAAGATGACTTCTAGATGAAGGTGAAACAGTTATCGCGGAAGACGAAAATATAGTAAATTTATGAAATTCCTGTACATAGTTATAAAACATTGGTATAAAAGGAACATAAGTTTAAAAAAATGCAATTAAATATTTTAGAGATCATTTTTTGTTGTAGTTTGTGATAATAGCGTCTACAAAGATATATGGAGGCAAAGCTGGGTCTCGGCTAATGTAGTATATTCCTGATATCAAAATTCATGTAAAAAGAGGGTTGCTTCAGATTTTTTAATTTGTAATATATGTTATACTAGCTTTTGCCCGCGGCTTCGCTCGCGTTAAGGGGTGAAATTTATCAAAATCATCATTAGGGGATGCCTACGTCATAGTAGCTTATGCATGCAAAGTCTCAGCCCGATCGGTATAAAATTGACAAAGTTTCATATAAAATTTCATCCCCTATTTTATACCTTTGGAGGTAGAATTAATCAAAATCCTTTCTTAGCGGTCGCCTACGTCATAACATCTACCTGCATGCCAAATTTCAGCCCGATCCGTCCAGTGGTTTGGGCTGTGCGTTGATAGATCACTATGTCACCTTTGAGTTGTATATATGTTATATTACAAATTAAATCTAAAGCAACCCTGTTTTTACATGCACATGAACGCATTTCATATGATATCCCATTAAACTTATTATGTAATAAACACACACATACACATGCTTCCTTGGCTAACAACCCCCTTCCTAAAATAACAGGGTTATTATTAAGTTAAGACTACGACACAAAGAAAACATAATTTCATATACTAATTTATAATGTAGTACTTGTAAAGGAAAGGCGTTAAGTAACAAAATAATTTCCTAAATTCAACCCCTAGAAGGTTAACAGGTTAGAAACTTTGTTCTAATAACGTAAATTAGATATTCCTTTTAACTTTTAGAATAATACAGGTATATTAAAATATATAAATTAAAAAAACGTAGACTTAACATTTAATCTCATTAGTTCTAAAGCTTGCGAGCAGATTAAGCTGTGTTTATTTGCATATAGCCAGGTTACCACTATGGTAGGTGTATTTTTTAATATAGGTATGTATTATTAACATATATATGTTATACATATATATTTGTAATACAGTAAATAACAATACTTATAATGAATTCGTATATTATATTTGATGTGAACATGTTTATAGATTTTAAAGTCATATGAAATATTTGAACAAAATATTATTTATTTATTTAAAAAAGTATTAAAATGTTCTAAAAAAGATTGTTTATGACAATAATATATACCTAACTAGCTACCCACCCCGGTTTCGCACGGGTGTACATGTATTATATTACATATAAACCTTTCTCTTGAATCACTCTATCTATTAAAAATACCTGCTGCTTCTAAATCCGTTGTGAAGTTTTAAAGACTTAAGCATACATAGAGATACACAGCGACAGCGACTTTGTTTTATACTATGTAATGATGTCAGTAGGCGAATTATTATATAATATCGCAAACAGAAAAATCTTACAGAATCACTTAGAAATAATTTTCAAGTTGCTCTACTTCTCGGTCTAGGTGCATTACTTATTCTTATCACAAAATAATAATTAAATCCGTCTTCTTTACGATTTTTTCGTCAATCGATTTAAGAATTAGTATATTAAATTACTCGACAACTGGTTGAATACTAATAAAATATGTAGATTACTTCTATTTTTAATTGAATATACTTCCCCTAATTAATTATTAAATTCGATTACCGGTCAGGACCTGCTATAATAGTTAGACAGACTGATTCCAAATGCTGGTTGGCCACTGTCCTTTAAAGGGTAGGGATTTTTAGTGATAGGGACTTGTAGCCCCATTGTTAGCAATGTATAATGTCAGGGTGACCTTCGCGCGTTGGATCTTCTGGAAACACCATTACGGGCTGACCGACCTGACTACAAGCTGTTACTTCCGCCACCAGTGAAGAATGATAAAATATACTGCCAGCGTATATTGTTATTTACATTAATAAAAAAATAAGCCTTGTGCTATCAACGTTTGGGCATTTATGTCGGAAAGCGAAGATTAGTTGTCAGGAAACAATATAAATCATTTGTAGTAACCAGAGGGTCTAGTTTGTCCATGCAGGACCCGTTCTCGAGTATGACGGTTAAGAAGCTATTATTTCCTTCAACCCTGTTAAATTCTTAGGGCCGGCTAATCATGTCATCAGTGTATTACGTCATAGATTTTTATATCTAAGTGTGATATAACGTTTTAGTTTTACACAGATATAGATTATATCTTAGTCACTAGTGGTAGGCTCCTTATTATTCTGTATATGTGTATGTGGACGGAATAGTCGTTTGTATCAGACTTGGATGAATTATTTAAAATGTTCAGGACACGTCGGAGAGAAATTGAGAGTGAGTGCCGGATGTGAGGCGTGATCATATTAAGAGAGAATACCGCGACCAAACTGCTTTGATAAGATAATGTCCGTTCATTTTGTTATTCTTTTATGTTATTAGAGTTTGCATGACTTGTATTAAGAATACTAGACAGCTGCTATACTTAAATAGTTGCTTTTTGTAGATACACACATATCAAATATGCATAGTAAAACTCCCAAAGCAATACAAACAGTATCTTATTTGAAATAGATACATTTTTGAATCCGATACTAAGTAACGTACTGTGAAATTTGTATATACTTAAAATATAGAGAAAACATAAAAAAACACATACAGTATTGCATATAATGAAATACGGAATAATGTAAGACATGTAAATACTGTAAAAACCTGAAGAATTAGCATAGTTTTTTCTGTATATATATTTGCGAGTAGAAAGAAAGTAGAAAAAAGTTTCCATATTTTGCTATTTCCAGAAACAGATGACATCAAAACATTTTTAGAAATTAACGGATTTAAAGAAATTTCTTGGGTTCTAATTTTAAATTTCGGATGACACTTGTATCAAGACTGTTTGAAGCTCGACTAAAGCTTTCAACAGTCGTTTGTTTACCGTTCTTTTGAATACAGAACGAAAATGCGTAACTATTCGAGCCCACGTATTATTACCCCCCAACAAAAGATTAAGTGAACATTAGTGTTTTGAAACGAATATCAAGCAAGCAAAATAAGAATTAAGTGGTCATCCGTGAATTATGTCAAGTAAATTTCATTATTTATGCCCCCTTATAGTTGTCACAACGGATCACATTCCTGGGATGACGTCACAGTTTACAGCAGCATTTTAGAAACTAGTTCTAATAGGAATACTAAGTTTCGTGACATTATGTCACGATTAGTATTCCTCTC